ATATATTTGAAAGTTCTGTGATGGGTCCACATTAAAGACACACAATTAGAGATAAATATATAAATTATAAATATATATTTTATTAGATATTGAATCACTATACCATCAAATTCAGACCCCCTCTAAAAAAAAAATGAACCACTGGAGGTAAAATGTTGCCTTTTTTATGAATATACCTATTTGTTATTTGTGGAATAGTAAGTGAAAAATGGTAAGTGTGAAATATTAATGAAAGCAATCTCAATATTATTCATTTTATGAGGTGGTGGACCCTGGCCAAAATGTCATGACCGTCACTAGATGGTGCTGGAGGTATTACCAGCACAAACAATCCAGGGCTTCTATGGGAATTGAAGCCGAAGCCGGAAATGTAATGTCTTTGGTGAGTTGAACATTCTTTATTATAAATTTCCACGCTTTCCCACTGCATTCATGTTTTCATTAACCTTTCCTGCACTGCCCCCCCCCATCAGTTGTGTGACTTGACCAATCGCCACACAGACATTGATAAATCCATTATTACTATTTCTTTAATCATTTAATGTCTTTTTTATCATTAAATATTAAAATTTATGCAAATTTTATGAATAAATGTATATATCACTTGATGATCACGCAGTAGGGTTAAATGACATGTCAAGTGCTAAAAATAGTTATAATAGAAATTGGAAACCAAGTATTGAGAATTCCTCACTGCTTTTTAATATTTTTAACAGCTTATCAAAGAAATATATAAGTTAAAACAAGTTTGTTTTTGACATCACTCACTGGTATGTCGGAAATTTATGATGCATACTGCTCAATTTGACACACATTGACATGTCTCTACTTCATCACTAAACAAATTTGATGCTTTTCTGCAAATGAGATTATTTGACATTAACACATTCTACTCTGCTCAAGTCATGATGTCAAGGACAATGAGAGGGGCATTGAGGCCAATCAAAGGGGCATCCACGGCCATAGCCCTGGTGACCTTGGATTAATTTAAGCCCTGCATTATAAATATGAATTTCAATTGCAGTTGATTGAATCACAACAGCATCAAGAGAACCAACATTTTCCAAAGACTCAGCAGCAACAACCAACACCGGCAGCTGCAACAACAGCAGCAACAGCAGCAGCAACTACAAAATCAACAGCAGCAGCAACATTATCAGCACAGCACCAGCAGCAGCAACCTGGACAACAACAGAGGTGGCAGCAGCAATATCGACAACAAGGACAACAAAGAAAATGCACAGCTGATGGACAGCTGGAGCTGTTGGAGATTGAGAGGGAGAAACTTGGAATAAAAAAATTGTGGTTTAAAAAGAAAAGTTGCAAGTAATGATAAGATACAGAAATCAATACTAGGAAATGAACTGTGAGTTTTCTTCATCATTTTTAACTGCATTTTTCAACCTTTGAGGGTCTTTTTTCTCTCAGTAGTTTGAGTAGATCTCAATATATAGATCTATTGATCTAGATTAAATAGTCTGTTCTTTAAAAATTGATGGAAAATTGACACAACAAATGTCATTCTGATTTTGTTTTATTAATAAAGTCCGTCCAATTGAGAAGGCCCTATAACATTAATTTCAGCTTTTGTGTGTTTGTTTTAATTTCGTTGTCTCTACCAACAACAATAAAAAGGTAATACAGTTGGGTGTATGTGGATTCTGAATCTACAAGCTTAGTCTTATCGTTAGACCCCATTCATTCACCTTTGTTATCTAAATTAAACTGAATGAAAGAATGGAGTAAAATTTTAGGTCCCAATTTTTATGCCTCCGTTACGAAGTAGCCGGAGGCATTAAGTGACTCTCACACTCTGCCGTGTAGGCTTACCGTGTGCCACCGTGCGCGAAAATGTCTGCAGACGGTGGAGAACGGCGAGGGCACACGGTGGTTCGTTATCAAAGCGGGCAACACGTTAATAGGGCGTTGGCGCTTATTTACACCCGGTGGGACCCGGCGAAAGTTTTGGGCATGTTTAAAACTTTGGCCGCCTGGCACCGGCCGCAAGTAAGCGGCAAGAGGACGGTGTTGAACGGTATGAGGACGGTATGAATACGTTATGAAAACGGTCACACTGTATGAACACGTTCACAACACGCTCATAACCCGTTACAGAACGGTGATGAAAAATGGAGAGCGGACTGACCGTTGCCGTTCAAATCGGGGTATTTATGGCAGTCGTGTCATGACGTCAGCAGTCCGGGGACTCGCTCGCAGGACGCTCCGAGCGGTGAGTGGACGCTAAGTGACTGGTATGGGCCCGGTATGGAAATGGCCAAAATTTTCAACAAAAGTCAATCTGGGCGGTGAAGACGGTAGAAGCACGTTCAACACCCGGTATGCGCCCGGTGAGAACGGTCAGAAGATGGCAATGAAACGGTGAAAAGATTAATTTTATGATTTTTTTTTTTTTTGCGGCCGGGGACAAGTTCGCTCAAAACCCAACGTTCTGGACTCTGTTTTTTTTTAATAGCCCGGCAGGTGGACGGTAGGCCGTCCGTCCGTACGTCCATACGTCCCGTTCTCGTGATCGGGTTATCTGAAGAACCGACCGATGGATTCCTGCCAAACTTTGGTCATGTATATATCTTGCAGAGCCAATGAACTGATTAGATTTTGGGGTCACGAAGTCAAAGGTCAAAGGTCACATGGCTCATTATGTATGCAAAAACCGCTTGTGATCGCGTTATCTCAAGAACCGATTAATGGAATCCTGCCAAACTTAGATCATGTATGTTACTTGTAGAGCTGATGAACTGATTAGATTTTGGGGTCAGGGTCAAAGGTCATGCGGCTCATTATGTATGCAAAAAAAGCTTGTGATCGCATCATTAGAACAGATTGATGGATTCCTGCCAAACTTAGATCATGTATGTATCTTGCAGAGCCAATGAATTGAGTAGATTCTTGGGTCAAGAGGTCAAAGGTCATGGGCTCATTATGTATGCAAAAATAGCTTGTGAACGCATTCTCATTAGAACTGACAGATGGATTACTATTTAACTCGGGATATCTTGCAGAGCCAATGAACTGAGTAGATTTTAGGGTCATGAGGTCAAAGATCAAAGGGTCATATATGTATATGAGAAATTGCTTGTAATCACGATATTCTGAGAACCTGTTAATGGATTACAATTGAACTTGAATTTGAAAAATTTCTTCTGTTTTGGTTTGTAAAATTGCTCTATGACGGAGGCATCATTTTCGACTGCGCGCAGTCGAAGTTCCATCTAGTTTTTAATAAATCAAACAAACAGTTTTGTACTCCTGATGATTGCAATGGTATTGGGTCTACCTTTCCTAGGACTTCAAGCTCAAGTCAGTTCATTTCAGGAAAAAAAGGCAATACTTACTTGGTTTTTATTTCCGCATATGACTTGCGTCACCCTTCTATTGTCACAAAAGAAAAATCTCAAAGCTTCAAAGACTTGCAGATGGGCAGGTAGAGCCTAACTCATCGTTTAACTCATTTATCATGTATAACACTATTTCCCTAGTAAATCTGTATTTTTGTAACATAGCTGCATCAACTCTAGATTTGTACGATCCCGGAAAACACACTTTCTACGGAGGGCAGCACCCCCAGGATATTCATGAGTGCTGCCATTTTGCCTTTTTGGTTGTTGAGACTAATTAATCGGTGTAAATTGATTTTGTCGGGAGGTCCAAGGCAACCAACAAATTTATTAAAATTAGTTGGTGACTTACATAATTTTGTCAGTGTTTTCCACCGACAAATTTTCATGAAATGGAAATTAGTCGGTGATGATGAAATTGTCGGTGAACATGATATTAGTCGGTGAAAACCACCGACTAATTGTTTCATGAAACGCCCCCTTAGGGTCATTAATGAAAGAGTCACGAGTCATTTCTATGGCACTATTCACTTAAAATTGCTTTTATTGGCCACTTTTTGAGGTGACATATGGGTTCGTATATTTTCTCTCCACTCTGTAGGTAAAGCTACTATAAGATTGCCATAGTTATATACAGTATTTGCCGGCGTAAAGGCCACAGTATTTTTGGAAGAGAAAATATCAAAAAGTCGGGGTGCGGCCTTTACGGCGAAAGAGTTTTTTTTTAAAAAATCAAGTCAAAACCAGCACCAATGTGCACATACGGGACTACGACATTTCAACACATCTTACTGACAATTTTATCTTGCATTGTTGACATGAATACGAAAATAAATTGCTAAAGCAACATTTGCCGATAGATCTTGATCTAAGTTCGTGCCATTGCAAAAGTAAAGGAAGGGACCATTTAACGGACCTGCCGCGAAGCATCCATCCGAAGTCGCCATTTTGTTTTCCATTTCATGCAGTTTCGCATTACACCGTACATTGTGGTAGGGATATATATCTACTCCCTTGTAACTCACCTGATCAAGGATTATTCAGTCTTTAGACTGTTGTACCTATCCATGGTTTCTTTGGTTGGGGTTGTCATCATATTTATCTGGGGCATCTTTCCACCATTTCTCAAGCCCAGATTTGAAACGATTGATAGTGGTACTCTCCACAACATCGCCTGGGAGACCATTCCACACATTGATTATTCTCTGCCTGAATGAGTTTTTCCTTAGTGTCTTCCGGCATTTTAGCTTGTAAAGCTTAAGTGAGTGACCACGTGTGCGACTGCACTTTGTTCTGCTAAAGAAATGTTGTTCTTGAAGATTATCAAACTGGTGCATTATTCTGAATACTTGAATCATATCAGATCGTTTCTGTCTGAACTGTAGAGTGAGGATTTTCAGTGCTTTGAGTCTCTCTGGGTAGTTTAAGTGTCTCACACTTTTGACGAGTTTTGTAGCCCTCTGCACCTTTTCCAACTTATCCTTGTCCTTATTCAAAAGATGGTTCCATACTGTTGAGCAGTACTCTAACTTAGGTCGTACCAGGGTTTTATACAGGAGAACCAATGACTTTTCATCAAGGTGATGAAAGTTTCTCTTGAGGAGCCCAAGGATGGAATTGGCCTTGGCTGTAATTTTTTCCGACATGCATGCTGAATTTCAAGGATGGGTCAAAGGTGACTCCCAGGTCTTTTCCCTCAGTTACGTCTTTTATCATGGAGTTTGTCTATTTGTTGATGGAATAGCTTTCTCTTGGGTTTTTGTATCCATAGTGGATGACCTTGCACTTGGATTCGTTGAAAGGTAGCTGCCATCTTTTTGACCATTCCATCAGAGCATCAATATCATATTGCAATTTGTTGACATCTGCAGCACCCTTTACCGGTCCATATACTTTGGTGTCATCGGCAAACAGTGCAACACTAGAGTTTACTGCTAGAGGAAGATCGTTGATGTAGATGAGGAACAAGATTGGGAATGCCACTTGTTACATTTTTCCATGATGAGTAGGCTCCATCTACTTTAACTCTTTGCGTTCTACATGTCAGTAGGGCTTTGATCCACTTGGAGAGTTTCCCTTGAATTCCATATGCTTCAATCTTCGCAATCAGCCTCATGTGAGGGGCACTTTCAAAAGCTTTCAAAAAATCTAGGTAAATGCAGTCAAATGGTATTGAAAGATCTTCAAGTTGTGACCATGTCTCTAATACCTCCAATAACTGTGAAGCACATGATCTTCCACTTCTGAATCCATGTTGTCTGGCAGAAAAAAGCTCATTCTTTTCCATGTGCTCTGCTATCTTATCTCTCATTATCTTTTCCATGACTTTGCAAGTTACAGATGTTAAACTCACTGGTCTGTAATTACCACTGCCATCCTTACGTCCTGATTTGTGTAATGGGACAACATTGGCTTTTTTCCATGCTGTTGGTACTTGTCCCTCATTCATGGATTTCTTGAAAATCAGATAGAGTAGAATACATATAGCATCTGCAGTCTCTCTCAGTACCTTTGAGTGTATCTCATCTAGACCAGGGGATTTGTCAGGCTTCTTGAGGTGTTTCAGGATGGTGTCCTCAGATAATTCTAGCTCTTCCAGGCTCTCTTCCACCTCTAATGGCACTGGCTTCGGGATGTGGTTTGTATCCTCTGTTGTGAATACACTAATGAAGAAGTCATTTAGTGTTTCTGCTTGATCCTCTGGATTATAAGCAAGTGATCCATCTTGTTTTAGTAGAGGAGGAATTCATGAGTGACTTGCTGTTCCTTTCTTCACATATCTCTAAAAACTTTTAGGATTCTCCTTGATTTCTCTTGCAATCTGTCTTTCAAAATCTTGTTTTGACTTTTTCACCTCTGTGGCTGTATTTCGAGCTTTTTTGTACATACTCCAGTTGCCTGCAGTACTGTTCTTTTGGTATTTTTTTCCAGGCTTTATGCTTATCCTTTAAGTGTTTTCTTGTGGTTAGAGTCATCCATGATGGTTGAGCACTTTGTCCTATTTTGGCTTTAGGAATATGCTTTTCTACACTCTGTTTAACATTGCATTCCAACAGTTTCCATGACTTCTCAATGTTCAAGTTTGTTAGCTCTGCTTCCCAGTTGACTTTCTTTATGTCTTCTTTAATGGCACCATAATCTCCTTTGTAGTATTTGTATGTAGTTCTGTTCCTCTTAGCCACTTCTCCTAGGTTTACATGGAAGCAAAGTACTCCATGTTCACTCTTTCCTATGGGTGGTTGACGTTAACGATGTCAATGGTCTCGTCATTGTTGGTAAGCACCAGGTCTAGCAGACTTTCCCTCTGTCCTTCTCTAAATCTTGTTGGCTGTGTAACATGCTGGCTCAAGTATAGATCATTAATGTTATCCAGTATGTAAGAAGCTGGGTGGTCTTCTGAGCAATTTGCGACGTTTCTAGCCCAATCAATGTCTCTAAGATTCAGGTCTCCCACTATCATCAGATCACCATTTCTGTCGCACGTCTCTGTCATCAAGGAGCATAAATTTCTACAGTTTATGTCAGAAGAACTCGGGCTCCTGTAGACATTTCCAATTAAGAGTTTCCTGCCATCATCAACTTGGATCTCACACCATACAGACTCTTCGAATTCGGTCAGCAAGTATATTTGTCTTGACAAGGACATTTCGGTTGACATGTATATTGCAACTCCTCTCCTTGCAGCTGGGGAAATGAATATATCATATCCATTGAGCTTAAGTTCAATTTCAGCATTTACATCATCTTTGGAATGTTTGGAGAGAATCTCTTGAACACAGATAACACCAGGTTTCTCCAATCTTACTCTGGCTTCAAACTCTTCCATTTTGTTGGTAAGTGTGTCCACATTAGTGCATAAGACTTTAATCTTTCCAGCTGTTATTGGTTGTCTATCCTTCCCAACATCAAAAGAGTTGCTCTCTGTTTCAATACTAACACCACTACACTTTCCTTCTGAATTTTCCACAACTTCAGTAGAGTTATTTTTTGCAACATGTGTACATACTGTACAATTGCTGGTGGCGTGTGCAGGTGTCTCTGTGCTTGTTGGTGCAAGACACCAAATCTGCCCACGATCACTTTTTGAGCTAAACTTCCGGTAAATTATAAGAATATTGATGAATTTGGTATCAGTTTGTAAAATAAAATAGTGTTTTACGAGAAAATTATGATTATTTTGTTTTGTCCATTTTTGTTCAGTTTTCCCTCTTTTAAATATCAAAGTTGGAGCGCTGCGGCCTTATGGCCGGCAATTACGGTAACTATTTACATCCAAGCCAACAATTGTTTACATTTTTAATGGTATTAATCTAATTGTTCGATATTACTCAGAAATGAGATCGACAATTTAAGCATCAATGTGGAGAACTTCTAATTTGAATATTGCCCTTGGAGGGGCAGAGCTGCATAAGCAAGGTAATGCCATGGGTAGGTGCAAAGACAGGAACCGTTGTCAGTATTTGTATTTAAATCATATAGAATTGACACATTTTGAAACATGCTCATTGGTCAAAAGTTTTGTCGTGGAGATAGAAAAAAAAGTTGATTAAGAGGATGAACATCAAGATAGTTTCCTCCTATTCTTTTCTTTCTACAAGGTGGATCTTGCGGACATTTACCGTATCACCTCAGTTGCGACTCAAGGGCGACAAGATATGAACCAGTGGGTAACAAGGTACAAACTTTCTTGTAGTACTGATGGCACGACCTTTTACACCGTGCAGGACATCTCTACAAACCCTGCATATGACGAGGTAAGTTTGTTCTCTGATTATTCTTTTTTTTTTAAATATTACATTGACTCTATTCTTGTAGGAATTTGAAGGTATTTAATAACTTTTTGATAACAATTAAAATATTTTTTATTACAATACTTTTTTAAGGAAAAAGGCCATCGTTACCTCAGGAACACATATACATCTAAGTTGTAGTATATACTACGCTGCTTACACAAAGTATAAGAGGAAAAAACTATTATGTAGGATTGTCAGAGCAAGTAATGCACTTCAAGCAAAAAATATTCAATCCATATGTGTTTTCTTATTTTATTACTAGGTCTCGAAAACTAGAAATTGATGTCATCAGAGTAAAACTTCAAATAGAAACGAAGGGACAGGCACTGGACATGCAAAAATATGTATTATTCAGCATGCTTGTCAATTCGATTCTCTTTTAGTTCGATTGCAATTGACCGCAGAATCATTTGAGTCATAATTAATTCAAAAGTGGATTGATTTTCCTTTTTCATTGAAGGTCTTCACCGGTAATGTTGACCGCAACACCATCGTGACCAACACTCTACCTGTACCCCAAATTTGCCGCTATGTCCGCTTGATGCCTGTCAGCTGGTTCGGCCATGTCAGTCTTCGTATGGAGATCTACGGTAAAGGCCCTCTCACAGGTCAGTTTTAAAACAAGGGATACTTCAACATGATTTGCTCCATATATTCAATTTCTCCTGCGATAATTACTCTGGGCATTTTTTCATCAATAATAGAGGCATAGTGCTACGGTTATAATTAGGTGATACGTACGTAGTTATACGTATCACCTATTGATTTCGTACAAATTTGTCTTTATTAGGTGATACGTACGTAGTTATACGTATCACCTTTTGATTTCGTGAAGATTTTTCTTTATTATAATTTATTCTTCCTCGAATTTGTTCGCAGGATATCTCAAGAATTGATAAAGCTATTGTCATGCAGCTTGCCATGATGACAGATCCTAGTCTAACTTAGAACTGTGTTACAAAAATCATTTTGACGTAATCTAGGTGCCATTTTGTGAAAATCAACTCATGATCATATCTTCATAACAGAAATTAATTTCTCATTCATATTCATCATGTTGAAGGTCAATATCCGTCCGGTCAATTGCAGGTCATTAAAAGTGCGCGTACGGGTAAGTCCGCGCGTTTACGCGCGCGCAGATTTTAAAATTGCTCCAAATCGTCTCAAGTTCAATTTGCATACGTTTGCGGCCTTTTGGGCATTTTTTTTTAAGTCGCGCACAAGTGCCTGCGTGCGCGTTTTCGTTCGTCATGGCCGTACGCAACATAGAATCGCCATTCTTTTTTCTTTCATGATTTTGTCCATACTTTTCCGAACAATTTGATACCATGTCTATTTCTTCATGACTATTCATAAGGGGATGAGCGTCCGTTCAAGATAAATGTCCGTACGCGCGAGCTCTTGTATTACATAGTATATATGGGCAAAAATATTCCTATACAAAGCCTATTGTAGCTCTTTGGTATGCTTGGGGATCGCAATTTTTATTTCATATTTGAATGGAATATGAGTCGGAGATATGATGTCATGTCTCATTTGGCCATGAAGAACATCGTGACACAATCATAATAGCATTGGAACTCAAAATACGAATGTGCATATTATGACGTCACCATATTTATAGAAAATTGAGTGTATATCTGTAAATATTCATAATTTTTCTCCCAATTCTCGATTTGTTGTAGCTGAGACAATTTTCTACATGGAATATGGTATTTATTTGTCATATAAACAATGGCGTCATGGTCAACTATTTCGATTGAAGGTGGCATGTCAATTTTCCCAATGTTGCGTGTGTTCTCTAGGGGAGGTGACTTTTTCTGAAATCTTCATTCTACATTCCAGTCTTGTTTGAGCAATATCTCGATAGTTTGCCTGTTTTTCTGTAAGCTTCGGATATTTTCTAGCTAAGACCATTCTCTACACAAAATGTGCAATTTATTTTTTAATCAGATGTTGGGATCATGGTGATATTTTAATTACACATTGTGATTTAATAATCTCAATTTCCGTTTACGTGTAATGTGTGAGTGGATTTGTTTTTGTTGGTATAGTGGTCAAAGCACTTGCTTCCCATTCAGTCGACCCAGATTCGATTCCCGATGGGTTAATATATATATATTTTTTAAAATTAAAATCGTGAAAACGCGTTCTTCATTATGTGTATTAGAATATGTATTACCTAATTTGTCAAGTGACAAATTCAAGTACAGTAATGATTTGTTATAGGGTATGATAAAGACTGGTGTGATTTATCCTGATAATAGCTATTTAACTTTTGGAGCTGAGGTGTCTCATGCCATTTCTGCGTCCAGTTTCATGCCAATTTCTGCGTCGATTTTCACATTTATTTCACGCCCAAATGAATAAATTTGCTTTAGTGACATTTTTCTTGTCTGACAGGGGCACATTACGTTTTATGAAAGGGTGAGATTTTTCTAAATATATTTTCTTTAAAGGCCACGTTTTTGAAAAAAAACACTTATACTTAAAGAGATATTTTGTTCATTTAATTCATTTGAATTAAGTGGTAATAGTTTTACAAATAAAGTAATTCATTCTTGAACTGTAATTTGTATTTATAATGCCATTTTGACTTTATTTTCCTGTTCACCGCCAATTGAAGATAAATATGTCAAAAGGGACATTATATTCTCATCCCTTTTTATCCCTTTTACTGTCTTTGGAACTCAATTTGCACAGATATCAACGATTGTTCTCCCGATCCTTGTGAAAATGGAGGAATTTGCAGTAATGGAGTGAACACCTTTACTTGTGCCTGCGATCTTGGCTATACAGGGCCTACGTGCGGAACAGGTAAGTCATAGAGTTAAAGTAGATTACATACCAACATGTTTTTATATAAAGCAATTGCTCCTTCGTTTATCAAGACATTATAGATAAAGGGCAAACATGGAAATAGAAAGAAAGAAACATACAATCATTGGTGGGGAAAACCTTGGAGGTTTTTCTTGACTGACAGTCTCATGCCAAGATTGTAACTACACTTTTATGTCCACCCGATAGGATCATTCGATCCTATTTGCCTATTTGACCACCTCTTCCTACATTTTGCTATACATTGTCACGCATTAACTTACAGCCATCTTGAATGGACCTGGCCCTCTGGGACTTGAGAGTTATTTCATCCCAGATTCAAGTCTGACAGCTTCCAGTGAGTATAATGCTGACCATGGTGCAAAGAGAGGTCGTCTTAACCTGGCTCGAGTCGGGAACCTGCGTGGAGCCTGGTCTGCACGACCAACAGATGCCAAACCGTGGATCCAGGTAAGCAAATAATTTCTTTAAGACAATTCGGACACGAAACATTAGGCTTATTTCTATGGCATGGGTTCATATCTCACTGCTGACACCGTATCAGTAACGAAAGGGTCAACAGTCAAATCTTAGACCACAGTTTGATTTGTATCCATACACTGCCACAAAGGCTGTAATAAAAGTCACCCGTCGTTTCTATGCACGGCATGAATTTATATTCCACCGCTACTACCATGTCAGTAACGAAAGAGTTACCAGTTATTTCTATGGCACTATTCACTTACACTGTTAAAATTGTTTTTATTGGCCACTTTTTGAGGTGGCATATGAGTTCGTAGATTTTGTCTCCACTCTATAGGTAGGGCTACTATAAGATTGCCATAGTTACATAATTATTCATATCCTAGTCAATAATTGCTTTCATTTTTAAGGGCATTAATATAATTGTTCGATATCACTCAGAAATGAGATCGACAACTAAAGCTTCAAGATGGAGAACTTCTAATTAAACTATTGCCCTTGGAGAGGCAGAGCTGCATGAAAGCAAGGTAATGTCATTGAAAGGAGCAGAGAAAGAAACCGTTCTTAGCTGGATCAATAGGGAACTCAGTTCACACCGTACCAGATTGCCACTTGAAATTGTATATTTTATTGTATTCAAATCTGCAAAGATATAAATCAAAGGACTCATAAATATATGTATGTGTTATGTTATCAATAAAATGAATACACTCTCTAAAACATGTATAAGAGTTTTCCTTTCCTTTTCTCAAATGGGTTACAACTGAATTCAAGTAAACTCTCTATTTCATACAAATACAATTTACTTCTGTTTGTATCCAAATATTCTATCAGATCATGTCAATATCTCATAACCGATTAATCTTCAAAAACTAAATCTAGTTTAAATGACCATACGAAAAATACATGCATAACCAACACAGAAATGACAAATAGTGATTTCTTTCTTTTCTATCACCAAATCCTCAAACTATAAACTTTACTTGCCCTCCTTGGTTCTTACAAGTAATAATTGTTTACATTACAATTCACCATATATTTAATATTTCGTTAAGGATCGAAATAAGCGATCATATTTTAAGTGTAACACAGTCTAAATTGCTCCTAATACATGAACTGGTCTACTCTAAATGTTTTATAACCAAAATAGATAATTAATAATATCACTGAAACTTTCCCTTTTAAATTACGAGCCACGTCTACATTTCGTAAAACGCCACCTACGTTCAAACCAAATACCTTTACACGTATGCAATAAACTCAAACTTAAATTCAATTCAATTCAATTCAATTCAGTTTTATTTCATTCAGTTTAAAAAGACAACATTTCATATAAGAACCAGCTATATATTATAAAATACACATTACGAACATATTTGACATTTGGACATAAAATAAACTGAATAGGTTGCAACCTGAAAGGAAAAAAAATAATCCTTATATAAAGGTTGACCCTTTTTTATAATAAACAAATATGAAATATATCCGTTACTAAACATTATACTATACTCAAATCAAGACAACAAACATACATACAACAAACAAATAAAATATGTCTTGAACTTAAATGATTATTGCAGTTTATCTAAAAGAAATTTCTTATACCTACGTTTAAAATCATTTACACTAACATAATTATGAATATAATGGGGAAGAGTGTTCCATAAAAAGGGTCCTTGGAAAATAATTATTTTTTGGTTTACTACTGTACGAGTCAATGGCAAGTGAAATTGTTTAGCATTTCTAGTAGTATAACTATGAACATTACAGTTTAAAATAAACAATTTGGAAATAGAATCAGGGATGAGATTGTGGTGACATAAATACATAAAAACACCTACTTGTAATATATATACATCCCTATATTGCAACATGTTTAATAAGTAAAATATTGGATTGGTATGGGCAAGGAAAGAAGAATGGTTCATAATTCTTATTGCACGTTTTTGTAATTTAAACAGTCTATCTTGATAAATTAATGCAGCATTGCCCCATACAATAATAGCATAATGTATAAAGTAAGGGTACACAGTTGCATAGTATATCATTTTGAGTATAATTTTAGGGAGTGATTTCAATCTGTACATGACACCAATACTTTTACATAATTTGTTGCAGATGACACCAATATGATTAGACCAGGAGAACTTATCATCGATAATAACACCCAAAAACTTTGCTGAAGAAACTCTCTGAATGTTTGCATTACCTAGTTTGATTGTTATTGAGTCTTTATTAAGTTTCTTTTTGGTAAAAATCATAAAATTGGTTTTCTTTTCATTAATGGAAAGTTTATTAGCGTAGTTTATTCCTGCACAAGTACCAAATACAAATGTATATTTCAATACCAGCTTATTCTTTTCCTTGAGCTCTGAAAATTATACATTTCTCATACTTCTTTCACACATAAATGAAATTACTGATTGTTCAATGTCAACTATTACAAAAACTCACTTCTTAGGCGACAATCTGGCATCACAAGTAAATAAATTTGTTTCTCGACAACTGCTGACGTCTTGCTCTGTATTCTGTAAAGTAGCGTAATAAGGTATCTTTAAAACCCCAAAACTTCAAGCGATTATTAAACTAACTTCTTTTGACTCCAAATCTACGGTATCTTCAAATGACCATCAATAAAAAGAAAACATTAAATAGAAATACAAAATAAGGTTTGTTCATCAAACCACTTAGTATTTGTATTTAAATCATATAGATTTGACACATTTTGGAACATGCTCATTGGTTAAAATTTTTGTCATGGAGATAGATGATTAAGAGGATGAACATCAAGAAAGCTTCCTCCGATTCTTTCTTTCTACTAGGTGGATCTTGCAGACATTTACCGTATCACTTCAGTTGCGACTCAAGGGCGACAAGATGAAAACCAGTGGGTAACAAGCTACAGGCTTGCTTGTAGTACTGATGGCACGACCTTTTACACCGTGCAGGGCATCTCTGCATACCCTCGAGCTGTCAGGGTAAGTTTGTTCTCCGATTATTAGTTTTTTAATATTACATTGACTTTATTCTTGAAGAACTTTGAAGGCATTTGAAATCTTTTTGATAACAATTAAAATATGTTCATGTTTAAAGAAAAAGGCAATCATTACCTCAGGAACACATTTACATCTTAGGTGAATTATTTAATATTCTGCTTACACAAAGTGTAAGAGCAAAAAAAAAAATATTAAGTAGGATTGAAGAACTGTCTATATTTGTAAATATATCAGAGCAAGAAAAGCACTTCAAGCAAAAAATCTTCAATCCATATCATATTTTTTCCAATTCTATTACTAGGTCTCGAAAAATAGAAATTGATGTCACAGAATATAACTTCAAATCGAAACGAATGGCCAGACACTGAACATGAAAAAAATATGTATCATTCAGCATGTTTATCGATTCGATTCTCTTTAGTTCGATTGCAATTGACCGCAGAATCATTTGAGTCATAATTCATTCAAAAGCTGATTGATTTTCCTTTTTCATAGAAGATCTTCACCGGTAATGCCGACCGCAACACCATCGTGACCAACACTCTGCCTGTATCCCAGATTTGCCGCTATGTCCGCTTGATGCCTGTCAGCTGGTACGGCCACATCAGTCTTCGTATGGAGATCTACGGTGAAGGTCTTTTCACAGGTCAGTTTTAAAACTAGTGATAGTCCAACATTTTTTGCTCCATATTCAATTTCTCTTGCGACAATTACTCTGGGTCCCTTTTTCACTAATCATAGAGGCATAGTGCTACGGTTATAATTAGGTGATACGTACGTAGTTATACGTATCACCTATTGATTTCGTCAAGATTTGTCTTTATTAGGTGATACGTACGTGGTATTACGATTAAATATCACCTTTTGATTTTGTGAAGATATTTCTTTATTATTATTTATTCTTCCTCGAATTTGTTCGCAGGATATCTCAAGAATTGATAAAGCTATTGTCATGCAGCTTGCCATGATGACAGATCCTAGTCTAACTTAGAACTGTGTTACAAAAAATCATTTTGACGTAATCTAGGTGCCATTTTGTGAAAATCAACTCATGATCATATCTTCATAACAGAAATTAATTTCTCATTCATATTCATCATGTTGAAGGTCAATATCCGTCCGGTCAATTGCAGGTCATTAAACGTGCGCGTACGGGTAAGTCCGCGCGTTTACGCGCGCGCAGATTTTAAAATTGCTCCAAATCGTCTCAAGTTCAATTTGCATACGTTTGCGGCCTTTTGGGCATTTTTTTTTAAGTCGCGCACAAGTGCCTGCGTGCGCGTTTTCGTTCGTCATGGCCGTACGCAACATAGAATCGCCATTCTTTTTTCTTTCATGATTTTGTCCATACTTTTCCGAACAATTCGATACCATGTCTATTTCTTTATGACTATTCATAAGGGGATGAGCGTCCGTTCAAGATAAATGTCCGTACGCGCGAGCTCTTGTATTACATAGTATATATGGGCAAAAATATTCCTATACAAAGCCTATTGTAGCTCTTTGGTATGCTTGGGGATCGCAATTTTTATTTCATATTTGAATGGAATATGAGTCGGAGATATGATGTCATGTCTCATTTGGCCATGAAGAACATCGTGACACAATCATAATAGCATTGGAACTCAAAATACGAATGTGCATATTATGACGTCACCATATTTATAGAAAATTGAGTGTATATCTGTAAATATTCATAATTTTTCTCCCAATTCTCGATTTGTTGTAGCTGAGACAATTTTCTACATGGAATATGGTATTTATTTGTCATATAAACAATGGCGTCATGGTCAACTATTTCGATTGAAGGTGGCATGTCAATTTTCCCAATGTTGCGTGTGTTCTCTAGGGGAGGTGACTTTTTCTGAAATCTTCATTCTACATTCCAGTCTTGTTTGAGCAATATCTCGATAGTTTGCCTGTTTTTCTGTAAGCTTCGGATATTTTCTAGCTAAGACCATTCTCTACACAAAATGTGCAATTTATTTTTTAATCAGATGTTGGGATCATGGTGATATTTTAATTACACATTGTGATTTAATAATCTCAATTTCCGTTTACGTGTAATGTGTGAGTGGATTTGTTTTTGTTGGTATAGTGGTCAAAGCACTTGCTTCCCATTCAGTCGACCCAGATTCGATTCCCGATGGGTTAATATATATATATTTTTTAAAATTAAAATCGTGAAAACGCGTTCTTCATTATGTGTATTAGAATATGTATTACCTAATTTGTCAAGTGACAAATTCAAGTACAGTAATGATTTGTTATAGGGTATGATAAAGACTGGTGTGATTTATCCTGATAATAGCTATTTAACTTTTGGAGCTGAGGTGTCTCATGCCATTTCTGCGTCCAGTTTCATGCCAATTTCTGCGTCGATTTTCACATTTATTTCACGCCCAAATGAATAAATTTGCTTTAGTGACATTTTTCTTGTCTGACAGGGGCACATTACGTTTTATGAAAGGGTGAGATTTTTCTAAATATATTTTCTTTAAAGGCCACGTTTTTGAAAAAAAAACACTTATACTTAAAGAGATATTTTGTTCATTTAATTCATTTGAATTAAGTGGTAATAGTTTTACAAATAAAGTAATTCATTCTTGAACTGTAATTTGTATTTATAATGCCATTTTGACTTTATTTTCCTGTTCACCGCCAATTGAAGATAAATATGTCAAAAGGGACATTATATTCTCATCCCTTTTTATCCCTTTTACTGTCTTTGGAACTCAATTTGCACAGATATCAACGATTGTTCTCCCGATCCTTGTGAAAATGGAGGAATTTGCAGTAATGGAGTGAACACCTTTACTTGTGCCTGCGATCTTGGCTATACAGGGCCTACGTGCGGAACAGGTAAGTCATAGAGTTAAAGTAGATTACATACCAACATGTTTTTATATAAAGCAATTGCTCCTTCGTTTATCAAGACATTATAGATAAAGGGCAAACATGGAAATAGAAAGAAAGAAACATACAATCATTGGTGGGGAAAACCTTGGAGGTTTTTCTTGACTGACAGTCTCATGCCAAGATTGTAACTACACTTTTATGTCCACCCGATAGGATCATTCGATCCTATTTGCCTATTTGACCACCTCTTCCTACATTTTGCTATACATTGTCACGCATTAACTTACAGCCATCTTGAATGGACCTGGCCCTCTGGGACTTGAGAGTTATTTCATCCCAGATTCAAGTCTGACAGCTTCCAGTGAGTATAATGCTGACCATGGTGCAAAGAGAGGTCGTCTTAACCTGGCTCGAGTCGGGAACCTGCGTGGAGCCTGGTCTGCACGACCAACAGATGCCAAACCGTGGATCCAGGTAAGCAAATAATTTCTTTAAGACAATTCGGACACGAAACATTAGGCTTATTTCTATGGCATGGGTTCATATCTCACTGCTGACACCGTATCAGTAACGAAAGGGTCAACAGTCAAATCTTAGACCACAGTTTGATTTGTATCCATACACTGCCACAAAGGCTGTAATAAAAGTCACCCGTCGTTTCTATGCACGGCATGAATTTATATTCCACCGCTACTACCATGTCAGTAACGAAAGAGTTACCAGTTATTTCTATGGCACTATTCACTTACACTGTTAAAATTGTTTTTATTGGCCACTTTTTGAGGTGGCATATGAGTTCGTAGATTTTGTCTCCACTCTATAGGTAGGGCTACTATAAGATTGCCATAGTTACATAATTATTCATATCCTAGTCAATAATTGCTTTCATTTTTAAGGGCATTAATATAATTGTTCGATATCACTCAGAAATGAGATCGACAACTAAAGCTTCAAGATGGAGAACTTCTAATTAAACTATTGCCCTTGGAGAGGCAGAGCTGCATGAAAGCAAGGTAATGTCATTGAAAGGAGCAGAGAAAGAAACCGTTCTTAGCTGGATCAATAGGGAACTCAGTTCACACCGTACCAGATTGCCACTTGAAATTGTATATTTTATTGTATTCAAATCTGCAAAGATATAAATCAAAGGACTCATAAATATATGTATGTGTTATGTTATCAATAAAATGAATACACTCTCTAAAACATGTATAAGAGTTTTCCTTTCCTTTTCTCAAATGGGTTACAACTGAATTCAAGTAAACTCTCTATTTCATACAAATACAATTTACTTCTGTTTGTATCCAAATATTCTATCAGATCATGTCAATATCTCATAACCGATTAATCTTCAAAAACTAAATCTAGTTTAAATGACCATACGAAAAATACATGCATAACCAACACAGAAATGACAAATAGTGATTTCTTTCTTTTCTATCACCAAATCCTCAAACTATAAACTTTACTTGCCCTCCTTGGTTCTTACAAGTAATAATTGTTTACATTACAATTCACCATATATTTAATATTTCGTTAAGGATCGAAATAAGCGATCATATTTTAAGTGTAACACAGTCTAAATTGCTCCTAATACATGAACTGGTCTACTCTAAATGTTTTATAACCAAAATAGATAATTAATAATATCACTGAAACTTTCCCTTTTAAATTACGAGCCACGTCTACATTTCGTAAAACGCCACCTACGTTCAAACCAAATACCTTTACACGTATGCAATAAACTCAAACTTAAATTCAATTCAATTCAATTCAATTCAGTTTTATTTCATTCAGTTTAAAAAGACAACATTTCATATAAGAACCAGCTATATATTATAAAATACACATTACGAACATATTTGACATTTGGACATAAAATAAACTGAATAGGTTGCAACCTGAAAGGAAAAAAAATAATCCTTATATAAAGGTTGACCCTTTTTTATAATAAACAAATATGAAATATATCCGTTACTAAACATTATACTATACTCAAATCAAGACAACAAACATACATACAACAAACAAATAAAATATGTCTTGAACTTAAATGATTATTGCAGTTTATCTAAAAGAAATTTCTTATACCTACGTTTAAAATAATTTACACTAACATAATTATGAATATAATGGGGAAGAGTGTTTCATAAAAAGGGTCCTTGGAAAATAATTATTTTTTGGTTTATTACTGTACGAGTCAATGGCAAGTGAAATTGTTTAGCATTTCTAGTAGTATAACTATGAACATTACAGTTTAAAATAAACAATTTGGAAATAGAATCAGGGATAAGATTGTGGTGACATAAATACATAAAAACACCTACTTGTAATATATATACATCCCTATATTGCAACATGTTTAATAAGTAAAATATTGGATTGGTATGGGCAAGGAAAGAAGAATGGTTCATAATTCTTATTGCACGTTTTTGTAATTTAAACAGTCTATCTTGATAAATTAATGCAGCATTGCCCCATACAATAATAGCATAATGTATAAAGTAAGGGTACACAGTTGCATAGTATATCATTTTGAGTATAATTTTAGGGAGTGATTTCAATCTGTACATGACACCAATACTTTTACATAATTTGTTGCAGATGACACCAATATGATTAGACCAGGAGAACTTATCATCGATAATAACACCCAAAAACTTTGCTGAAGAAACTCTCTGAATGTTTGCATTACCTAGTTTGATTGTTATTGAGTCTTTATTAAGTTTCTTTTTGGTAAAAATCATAAAATTGGTTTTCTTTTCATTAATGGAAAGTTTATTAGCGTAGTTTATTCCTGCACAAGTACCAAATACAAATGTATATTTCAATACCAGCTTATTCTTTTCCTTGAGCTCTGAAAATTATACATTTCTCATACTTCTTTCACACATAAATGAAATTACTGATTGTTCAATGTCAACTATTACAAAAACTCACTTCTTAGGCGACAATCTGGCATCACAAGTAAATAAATTTGTTTCTCGACAACTGCTGACGTCTTGCTCTGTATTCTGTAAAGTAGCGTAATAAGGTATCTTTAAAACCCCAAAACTTAAAGCGATTATTAAACTAACTTCTTTTGACTCCAAATCTACGGTATCTTCAAATGACCATCAATAAAAAGAAAACATTAAATAGAAATACAAAATAAGGTTTGTTCATCAAACCACTTAGTATTTGTATTTAAATCATATAGATTTGACACATTTTGGAACATGCTCATTGGTTAAAATTTTTGTCATGGAGATAGATGATTAAGAGGATGAACATCAAGAAAGCTTCCTCCGATTCTTTCTTTCTACAAGGTGGATCTTGCAGACATTTACCGTATCACTTCAGTTGCGACTCAAGGGCGACAAGATGAAAACCAGTGGGTAACAAGCTACAGGCTTGCTTGTAGTACTGATGGCACGACCTTTTACACCGTGCAGGGCATCTCTGCATACCCTCGAGCTGTCAGGGTAAGTTTGTTCTCCGATTATTCGTTTTTTAATATTACATTGACTTTATTCTTGAAGAACTTTGAAGGCATTTGAAATCTTTTTGATAACAATTAAAATATGTTCATGTTACGATACTTTCTTTTAAAGAAAAAGGCAATCATTACCTCAGGAACACATTTACATCTTAGGTGAATTATTTAATATTCTGCTTACACAAAGTGTAAGAGCAAAAAAAAAAATATTAAGTAGGATTGAAGAACTGTCTATATTTGTAAATATATCAGAGCAAGAAAAGCACTTCAAGCAAAAAATCTTCAATCCATATCATATTTTTTCCAATTCTATTACTAGGTCTCGAAAAATAGAAATTGATGTCACAGAATATAACTTCAAATCGAAACGAATGGCCAGACACTGAACATGAAAAAAATATGTATCATTCAGCATGTTTATCGATTCGATTCTCTTTAGTTCGATTGCAATTGACCGCAGAATCATTTGAGTCATAATTCATTCAAAAGCTGATTGATTTTCCTTTTTCATAGAAGATCTTCACCGGTAATGCCGACCGCAACACCATCGTGACCAACACTCTGCCTGTATCCCAGATTTGCCGCTATGTCCGCTTGATGCCTGTCAGCTGGTACGGCCACATCAGTCTTCGTATGGAGATCTACGGTGAAGGTCCTTTCACAGGTCAGTTTTAAAACTAGTGATAGTCCAACATTTTTTGCTCCATATTCAATTTCTCTTGCGACAATTACTCTGGGTCCCTTTTTCACTAATCATAGAGGCATAGTGCTACGGTTATAATTAGGTGATACGTACGTAGTTATACGTATCACCTATTGATTTCGTCAAGATTTGTCTTTATTAGGTGATACGTACGTGGTATTACGATTAAATATCACCTTTTGATTTTGTGAAGATTTTTCTTTATTATAATTTATTCTTCCTCGAATTTGTTCGCAGGATATCTCAAGAATTGATAAAGCTATTGTCATGCAGCTTGCCATGATGACAGATCCTAGTCTAACTTAGAACTGTGTTACAAAAAATCATTTTGACGTAATCTAGGTGCCATTTTGTGAAAATCAACTCATGATCATATCTTCATAACAGAAATTAATTTCTCATTCATATTCATCATGTTGAAGGTCAATATCCGTCCGGTCAATTGCAGGTCATTAAACGTGCGCGTACGGGTAAGTCCGCGCGTTTACGCGCGCGCAGATTTTAAAATTGCTCCAAATCGTCTCAAGTTCAATTTGCATACGTTTGCGGCCTTTTGGGCATTTTTTTTTAAGTCGCGCACAAGTGCCTGCGTGCGCGTTTTCGTTCGTCATGGCCGTACGCAACATAGAATCGCCATTCTTTTTTCTTTCATGATTTTGTCCATACTTTTCCGAACAATTTGATACCATGTCTATTTCTTCATGACTATTCATAAGGGGATGAGCGTCCGTTCAAGATAAATGTCCGTACGCGCGAGCTCTTGTATTACATAGTATATATGGGCAAAAATATTCCTATACAAAGCCTATTGTAGCTCTTTGGTATGCTTGGGGATCGCAATTTTTATTTCATATTTGAATGGAATATGAGTCGGAGATATGATGTCATGTCTCATTTGGCCATGAAGAACATCGTGACACAATCATAATAGCATTGGAACTCAAAATACGAATGTGCATATTATGACGTCACCATATTTATAGAAAATTGAGTGTATATCTGTAAATATTCATAATTTTTCTCCCAATTCTCGATTTGTTGTAGCTGAGACAATTTTCTACATGGAATATGGTATTTATTTGTCATATAAACAATGGCGTCATGGTCAACTATTTCGATTGAAGGTGGCATGTCAATTTTCCCAATGTTGCGTGTGTTCTCTAGGGGAGGTGACTTTTTCTGAAATCTTCATTCTACATTCCAGTCTTGTTTGAGCAATATCTCGATAGTTTGCCTGTTTTTCTGTAAGCTTCGGATATTTTCTAGCTAAGACCATTCTCTACACAAAATGTGCAATTTATTTTTTAATCAGATGTTGGGATCATGGTGATATTTTAATTACACATTGTGATTTAATAATCTCAATTTCCGTTTACGTGTAATGTGTGAGTGGATTTGTTTTTGTTGGTATAGTGGTCAAAGCACTTGCTTCCCATTCAGTCGACCCAGATTCGATTCCCGATGGGTTAATATATATATATTTTTTAAAATTAAAATCGTGAAAACGCGTTCTTCATTATGTGTATTAGAATATGTATTACCTAATTTGTCAAGTGACAAATTCAAGTACAGTAATGATTTGTTATAGGGTATGATAAAGACTGGTGTGATTTATCCTGATAATAGCTATTTAACTTTTGGAGCTGAGGTGTCTCATGCCATTTCTGCGTCCAGTTTCATGCCAATTTCTGCGTCGATTTTCACATTTATTTCACGCCCAAATGAATAAATTTGCTTTAGTGACATTTTTCTTGTCTGACAGGGGCACATTACGTTTTATGAAAGGGTGAGATTTTTCTAAATATATTTTCTTTAAAGGCCACGTTTTTGAAAAAAAACACTTATACTTAAAGAGATATTTTGTTCATTTAATTCATTTGAATTAAGTGGTAATAGTTTTACAAATAAAGTAATTCATTCTTGAACTGTAATTTGTATTTATAATGCCATTTTGACTTTATTTTCCTGTTCACCGCCAATTGAAGATAAATATGTCAAAAGGGACATTATATTCTCATCCCTTTTTATCCCTTTTACTGTCTTTGGAACTCAATTTGCACAGATATCAACGATTGTTCTCCCGATCCTTGTGAAAATGGAGGAATTTGCAGTAATGGAGTGAACACCTTTACTTGTGCCTGCGATCTTGGCTATACAGGGCCTACGTGCGGAACAGGTAAGTCATAGAGTTAAAGTAGATTACATACCAACATGTTTTTATATAAAGCAATTGCTCCTTCGTTTATCAAGACATTATAGATAAAGGGCAAACATGGAAATAGAAAGAAAGAAACATACAATCATTGGTGGGGAAAACCTTGGAGGTTTTTCTTGACTGACAGTCTCATGCCAAGATTGTAACTACACTTTTATGTCCACCCGATAGGATCATTCGATCCTATTTGCCTATTTGACCACCTCTTCCTACATTTTGCTATACATTGTCACGCATTAACTTACAGCCATCTTGAATGGACCTGGCCCTCTGGGACTTGAGAGTTATTTCATCCCAGATTCAAGTCTGACAGCTTCCAGTGAGTATAATGCTGACCATGGTGCAAAGAGAGGTCGTCTTAACCTGGCTCGAGTCGGGAACCTGCGTGGAGCCTGGTCTGCACGACCAACAGATGCCAAACCGTGGATCCAGGTAAGCAAATAATTTCTTTAAGACAATTCGGACACGAAACATTAGGCTTATTTCTATGGCATGGGTTCATATCTCACTGCTGACACCGTATCAGTAACGAAAGGGTCAACAGTCAAATCTTAGACCACAGTTTGATTTGTATCCATACACTGCCACAAAGGCTGTAATAAAAGTCACCCGTCGTTTCTATGCACGGCATGAATTTATATTCCACCGCTACTACCATGTCAGTAACGAAAGAGTTACCAGTTATTTCTATGGCACTATTCACTTACACTGTTAAAATTGTTTTTATTGGCCACTTTTTGAGGTGGCATATGAGTTCGTAGATTTTGTCTCCACTCTATAGGTAGGGCTACTATAAGATTGCCATAGTTACATAATTATTCATATCCTAGTCAATAATTGCTTTCATTTTTAAGGGCATTAATATAATTGTTCGATATCACTCAGAAATGAGATCGACAACTAAAGCTTCAAGATGGAGAACTTCTAATTAAACTATTGCCCTTGGAGAGGCAGAGCTGCATGAAAGCAAGGTAATGTCATTGAAAGGAGCAGAGAAAGAAACCGTTCTTAGCTGGATCAATAGGGAACTCAGTTCACACCGTACCAGATTGCCACTTGAAATTGTATATTTTATTGTATTCAAATCTGCAAAGATATAAATCAAAGGACTCATAAATATATGTATGTGTTATGTTATCAATAAAATGAATACACTCTCTAAAACATGTATAAGAGTTTTCCTTTCCTTTTCTCAAATGGGTTACAACTGAATTCAAGTAAACTCTCTATTTCATACAAATACAATTTACTTCTGTTTGTATCCAAATATTCTATCAGATCATGTCAATATCTCATAACCGATTAATCTTCAAAAACTAAATCTAGTTTAAATGACCATACGAAAAATACATGCATAACCAACACAGAAATGACAAATAGTGATTTCTTTCTTTTCTATCACCAAATCCTCAAACTATAAACTTTACTTGCCCTCCTTGGTTCTTACAAGTAATAATTGTTTACATTACAATTCACCATATATTTAATATTTCGTTAAGGATCGAAATAAGCGATCATATTTTAAGTGTAACACAGTCTAAATTGCTCCTAATACATGAACTGGTCTACTCTAAATGTTTTATAACCAAAATAGATAATTAATAATATCACTGAAACTTTCCCTTTTAAATTACGAGCCACGTCTACATTTCGTAAAACGCCACCTACGTTCAAACCAAATACCTTTACACGTATGCAATAAACTCAAACTTAAATTCAATTCAATTCAATTCAATTCAGTTTTATTTCATTCAGTTTAAAAAGACAACATTTCATATAAGAACCAGCTATATATTATAAAATACACATTACGAACATATTTGACATTTGGACATAAAATAAACTGAATAGGTTGCAACCTGAAAGGAAAAAAAATAATCCTTATATAAAGGTTGACCCTTTTTTATAATAAACAAATATGAAATATATCCGTTACTAAACATTATACTATACTCAAATCAAGACAACAAACATACATACAACAAACAAATAAAATATGTCTTGAACTTAAATGATTATTGCAGTTTATCTAAAAGAAATTTCTTATACCTACGTTTAAAATCATTTACACTAACATAATTATGAATATAATGGGGAAGAGTGTTCCATAAAAAGGGTCCTTGGAAAATAATTATTTTTTGGTTTATTACTGTACGAGTCAATGGCAAGTGAAATTGTTTAGCATTTCTAGTAGTATAACTATGAACATTACAGTTTAAAATAAACAATTTGGAAATAGAATCAGGGATAAGATTGTGGTGACATAAATACATAAAAACACCTACTTGTAATATATATACATCCCTATATTGCAACATGTTTAATAAGTAAAATATTGGATTGGTATGGGCAAGGAAAGAAGAATGGTTCATAATTCTTATTGCACGTTTTTGTAATTTAAACAGTCTATCTTGATAAATTAATGCAGCATTGCCCCATACAATAATAGCATAATGTATAAAGTAAGGGTACACAGTTGCATAGTATATCATTTTGAGTATAATTTACGGGAGTGATTTCAATCTGTACATGACACCAATACTTTTACATAATTTGTTGCAGATGACACCAATATGATTAGACCAGGAGAACTTATCATCGATAATAACACCCAAAAACTTTGCTGAAGAAACTCTCTGAATGTTTGCATTACCTAGTTTGATTGTTATTGAGTCTTTATTAAGTTTCTTTTTGGTAAAAATCATAAAATTGGTTTTCTTTTCATTAATGGAAAGTTTATTAGCGTAGTTTATTCCTGCACAAGTACCAAATACAAATGTATATTTCAATACCAGCTTATTCTTTTCCTTGAGCTCTGAAAATTATACATTTCTCATACTTCTTTCACACATAAATGAAATTACTGATTGTTCAATGTCAACTATTACAAAAACTCACTTCTTAGGCGACAATCTGGCATCACAAGTAAATAAATTTGTTTCTCGACAACTGCTGACGTCTTGCTCTGTATTCTGTAAAGTAGCGTAATAAGGTATCTTTAAAACCCCAAAACTTAAAGCGATTATTAAACTAACTTCTTTTGACTCCAAATCTACGGTATCTTCAAATGACCATCAATAAAAAGAAAACATTAAATAGAAATACAAAATAAGGTTTGTTCATCAAACCACTTAGTATTTGTATTTAAATCATATAGATTTGACACATTTTGGAACATGCTCATTGGTTAAAATTTTTGTCATGGAGATAGATGATTAAGAGGATGAACATCAAGAAAGCTTCCTCCGATTCTTTCTTTCTACAAGGTGGATCTTGCAGACATTTACCGTATCACTTCAGTTGCGACTCAAGGGCGACAAGATGAAAACCAGTGGATAACAAGCTACAGGCTTGCTTGTAGTACTGATGGCACGACCTTTTACACCGTGCAGGGCATCTCTGCATACCCTCGAGCTGTCAGGGTAAGTTTGTTCTCCGATTATTCGTTTTTTAATATTACATTGACTTTATTCTTGAAGAACTTTGAAGGCATTTGAAATCTTTTTGATAACAATTAAAATATGTTCATGTTACGATACTTTCTTTTAAAGAAAAAGGCAATCATTACCTCAGGAACACATTTACATCTTAGGTGAATTATTTAATATTCTGCTTACACAAAGTGTAAGAGCAAAAAAAAAAATATTAAGTAGGATTGAAGAACTGTCTATATTTGTAAATATATCAGAGCAAGAAAAGCACTTCAAGCAAAAAATCTTCAATCCATATCATATTTTTTCCAATTCTATTACTAGGTCTCGAAAAATAGAAATTGATGTCACAGAATATAACTTCAAATCGAAACGAATGGCCAGACACTGAACATGAAAAAAATATGTATCATTCAGCATGTTTATCGATTCGATTCTCTTTAGTTCGATTGCAATTGACCGCAGAATCATTTGAGTCATAATTCATTCAAAAGCTGATTGATTTTCCTTTTTCATAGAAGATCTTCACCGGTAATGCCGACCGCAACACCATCGTGACCAACACTCTGCCTGTATCCCAGATTTGCCGCTATGTCCGCTTGATGCCTGTCAGCTGGTACGGCCACATCAGTCTTCGTATGGAGATCTACGGTGAAGGTCCTTTCACAGGTCAGTTTTAAAACTAGTGATAGTCCAACATTTTTTGCTCCATATTCAATTTCTCTTGCGACAATTACTCTGGGTCCCTTTTTCACTAATCATAGAGGCATAGTGCTACGGTTATAATTAGGTGATACGTACGTAGTTATACGTATCACCTATTGATTTCGTCAAGATTTGTCTTTATTAGGTGATACGTACGTGGTATTACGATTAAATATCACCTTTTGATTTTGTGAAGATTTTTCTTTATTATAATTTATTCTTCCTCGAATTTGTTCGCAGGATATCTCAAGAATTGATAAAGCTATTGTCATGCAGCTTGCCATGATGACAGATCCTAGTCTAACTTAGAACTGTGTTACAAAAAATCATTTTGACGTAATCTAGGTGCCATTTTGTGAAAATCAACTCATGATCATATCTTCATAACAGAAATTAATTTCTCATTCATATTCATCATGTTGAAGGTCAATATCCGTCCGGTCAATTGCAGGTCATTAAACGTGCGCGTACGGGTAAATCCGCGCGTTTACGCGCGCGCAGATTTTAAAATTGCTCCAAATCGTCTCAAGTTCAATTTGCATACGTTTGCGGCCTTTTGGGCATTTTTTTTTAAGTCGCGCACAAGTGCCTGCGTGCGCGTTTTCGTTCGTCATGGCCGTACGCAACATAGAATCGCCATTCTTTTTTCTTTCATGATTTTGTCCATACTTTTCCGAACAATTTGATACCATGTCTATTTCTTCATGACTATTCATAAGGGGATGAGCGTCCGTTCAAGATAAATGTCCGTACGCGCGAGCTCTTGTATTACATAGTATATATGGGCAAAAATATTCCTATACAAAGCCTATTGTAGCTCTTTGGTATGCTTGGGGATCGCAATTTGTATTTCATATTTGAATGGAATATGAGTCGGAGATATGATGTCATGTCTCATTTGGCCATGAAGAACATCGTGACACAATCATAATAGCATTGGAACTCAAAATACGAATGTGCATATTATGACGTCACCATATTTATAGAAAATTGAGTGTATATCTGTAAATATTCATAATTTTTCTCCCAATTCTCGATTTGTTGTAGCTGAGACAATTTTCTACATGGAATATGGTATTTATTTGTCATATAAACAATGGCGTCATGGTCAACTATTTCGATTGAAGGTGGCATGTCAATTTTCCCAATGTTGCGTGTGTTCTCTAGGGGAGGTGACTTTTTCTGAAATCTTCATTCTACATTCCAGTCTTGTTTGAGCAATATCTCGATAGTTTGCCTGTTTTTCTGTAAGCTTCGGATATTTTCTAGCTAAGACCATTCTCTACACAAAATGTGCAATTTATTTTTTAATCAGATGTTGGGATCATGGTGATATTTTAATTACACATTGTGATTTAATAATCTCAATTTCCGTTTACGTGTAATGTGTGAGTGGATTTGTTTTTGTTGGTATAGTGGTCAAAGCACTTGCTTCCCATTCAGTCGACCCAGATTCGATTCCCGATGGGTTAATATATATATATTTTTTAAAATTAAAATCGTGAAAACGCGTTCTTCATTATGTGTATTAGAATATGTATTACCTAATTTGTCAAGTGACAAATTCAAGTACAGTAATGATTTGTTATAGGGTATGATAAAGACTGGTGTGATTTATCCTGATAATAGCTATTTAACTTTTGGAGCTGAGGTGTCTCATGCCATTTCTGCGTCCAGTTTCATGCCAATTTCTGCGTCGATTTTCACATTTATTTCACGCCCAAATGAATAAATTTGCTTTAGTGACATTTTTCTTGTCTGACAGGGGCACATTACGTTTTATGAAAGGGTGAGATTTTTCTAAATATATTTTCTTTAAAGGCCACGTTTTTGAAAAAAAAACACTTATACTTAAAGGGATATTTTGTTCATTTAATTCATTTGAATTAAGTGGTAATAGTTTTACAAATAAAGTAATTCATTCTTGAACTGTAATTTGTATTTATAATGCCATTTTGACTTTATTTTCCTGTTCACCGCCAATTGAAGATAAATATGTCAAAAGGGACATTATATTCTCATCCCTTTTTATCCCTTTTACTGTCTTTGGAACTCAATTTGCACAGATATCAACGATTGTTCTCCCGATCCATGTGAAAATGGAGGAATTTGCAGTAATGGAGTGAACACCTTTACTTGTGCCTGCGATCTTGGCTATACAGGGCCTACGTGCGGAACAGGTAAGTCATAGAGTTAAAGTAGATTACATACCAACATGTTTTTATATAAAGCAATTGCTCCTTCGTTTATCAAGACATTATAGATAAAGGGCAAACATGGAAATAGAAAGAAAGAAACATACAATCATTGGTGGGGAAAACCTTGGAGGTTTTTCTTGACTGACAGTCTCATGCCAAGATTGTAACTACACTTTTATGTCCACCCGATAGGATCATTCGATCCTATTTGCCTATTTGACCACCTCTTCCTACATTTTGCTATACATTGTCACGCATTAACTTACAGCCATCTTGAATGGACCTGGCCCTCTGGGACTTGAGAGTTATTTCATCCCAGATTCAAGTCTGACAGCTTCCAGTGAGTATAATGCTGACCATGGTGCAAAGAGAGGTCGTCTTAACCTGGCTCGAGTCGGGAATCTGCGTGGAGCCTGGTCTGCACGACCAACAGATGCCAAACCGTGGATCCAGGTAAGCAAATAATTTCTTTAAGACAATTCGGACACGAAACATTAGGCTTATTTCTATGGCATGGGTTCATATCTCACTGCTGACACCGTATCAGTAACGAAAGGGTCAACAGTCAAATCTTAGACCACAGTTTGATTTGTATCCATACACTGCCACAAAGGCTGTAATAAAAGTCACCCGTCGTTTCTATGCACGGCATGAATTTATATTCCACCGCTACTACCATGTCAGTAACGAAAGAGTTACCAGTTATTTCTATGGCACTATTCACTTACACTGTTAAAATTGTTTTTATTGGCCACTTTTTGAGGTGGCATATGAGTTCGTAGATTTTGTCTCCACTCTATAGGTAGGGCTACTATAAGATTGCCATAGTTACATAATTATTCATATCCTAGTCAATAATTGCTTTCATTTTTAAGGGCATTAATATAATTGTTCGATATCACTCAGAAATGAGATCGACAACTAAAGCTTCAAGATGGAGAAATTCTAATTAAACTATTGCCCTTGGAGAGGCAGAGCTGCATGAAAGCAAGGTAATGTCATTGAAAGGAGCAGAGAAAGAAACCGTTCTTAGCTGGATCAATAGGGAACTCAGTTCACACCGTACCAGATTGCCACTTGAAATTGTATATTTTATTGTATTCAAATCTGCAAAGATATAAATCAAAGGACTCATAAATATATGTATGTGTTATGTTATCAATAAAATGAATACACTCTCTAAAACATGTATAAGAGTTTTCCTTTCCTTTTCTCAAATGGGTTACAACTGAATTCAAGTAAACTCTCTATTTCATACAAATACAATTTACTTCTGTTTGTATCCAAATATTCTATCAGATCATGTCAATATCTCATAACCGATTAATCTTCAAAAACTAAATCTAGTTTAAATGACCATACGAAAAATACATGCATAACCAACACAGAAATGACAAATAGTGATTTCTTTCTTTTCTATCACCAAATCCTCAAACTATAAACTTTACTTGCCCTCCTTGGTTCTTACAAGTAATAATTGTTTACATTACAATTCACCATATATTTAATATTTCGTTAAGGATCGAAATAAGCGATCATATTTTAAGTGTAACACAGTCTAAATTGCTCCTAATACATGAACTGGTCTACTCTAAATGTTTTATAACCAAAATAGATAATTAATAATATCACTGAAACTTTCCCTTTTAAATTACGAGCCACGTCTACATTTCGTAAAACGCCACCTACGTTCAAACCAAATACCTTTACACGTATGCAATAAACTCAAACTTAAATTCAATTCAATTCAATTCAATTCAGTTTTATTTCATTCAGTTTAAAAAGACAACATTTCATATAAGAACCAGCTATATATTATAAAATACACATTACGAACATATTTGACATTTGGACATAAAATAAACTGAATAGGTTGCAACCTGAAAGGAAAAAAAATAATCCTTATATAAAGGTTGACCCTTTTTTATAATAAACAAGTATGAAATATATCCGTTACTAAACATTATACTATACTCAAATCAAGACAACAAACATACATACAACAAACAAATAAAATATGTCTTGAACTTAAATGATTATTGCAGTTTATCTAAAAGAAATTTCTTATACCTACGTTTAAAATCATTTACACTAACATAATTATGAATATAATGGGGAAGAGTGTTCCATAAAAAGGGTCCTTGGAAAATAATTATTTTTTGGTTTATTACTGTACGAGTCAATGGCAAGTGAAATTGTTTAGCATTTCTAGTAGTATAACTATGAACATTACAGTTTAAAATAAACAATTTGGAAATAGAATCAGGGATAAGATTGTGGTGACATAAATACATAAAAACACCTACTTGTAATATATATACATCCCTATATTGCAACATGTTTAATAAGTAAAATATTGGATTGGTATGGGCAAGGAAAGAAGAATGGTTCATAATTCTTATTGCACGTTTTTTGTAATTTAAACAGTCTATCTTGATAAATTAATGCAGCATTGCCCCATACAATAATAGCATAATGTATAAAGTAAGGGTACACAGTTGCATAGTATATCATTTTGAGTATAATTTACGGGAGTGATTTCAATCTGTACATGACACCAATACTTTTACATAATTTGTTGCAGATGACACCAATATGATTAGACCAGGAGAACTTATCATCGATAATAACACCCAAAAACTTTGCTGAAGAAACTCTCTGAATGTTTGCATTACCTAGTTTGATTGTTATTGAGTCTTTATTAAGTTTCTTTTTGGTAAAAATCATAAAATTGGTTTTCTTTTCATTAATGGAAAGTTTATTAGCGTAGTTTATTCCTGCACAAGTACCAAATACAAATGTATATTTCAATACCAGCTTATTCTTTTCCTTGAGCTCTGAAAATTATACATTTCTCATACTTCTTTCACACATAAATGAAATTACTGATTGTTCAATGTCAACTATTACAAAAACTCACTTCTTAGGCGACAATCTGGCATCACAAGTAAATAAATTTGTTTCTCGACAACTGCTGACGTCTTGCTCTGTATTCTGTAAAGTAGCGTAATAAGGTATCTTTAAAACCCCAAAACTTAAAGCGATTATTAAACTAACTTCTTTTGACTCCAAATCTACGGTATCTTCAAATGACCATCAATAAAAAGAAAACATTAAATAGAAATACAAAATAAGGTTTGTTCATCAAACCACTTAGTATTTGTATTTAAATCATATAGATTTGACACATTTTGGAACATGCTCATTGGTTAAAATTTTTGTCATGGAGATAGATGATTAAGAGGATGAACATCAAGAAAGCTTCCTCCGATTCTTTCTTTCTACAAGGTGGATCTTGCAGACATTTACCGTATCACTTCAGTTGCGACTCAAGGGCGACAAGATGAAAACCAGTGGGTAACAAGCTACAGGCTTGCTTGTAGTACTGATGGCACGACCTTTTACACCGTGCAGGGCATCTCTGCATACCCTCGAGCTGTCAGGGTAAGTTTGTTCTCCGATTATTCGTTTTTTAATATTACATTGACTTTATTCTTGAAGAACTTTGAAGGCATTTGAAATCTTTTTGATAACAATTAAAATATGTTCATGTTACGATACTTTCTTTTAAAGAAAAAGGCAATCATTACCTCAGGAACACATTTACATCTTAGGTGAATTATTTAATATTCTGCTTACACAAAGTGTAAGAGCAAAAAAAAAAAATATTAAGTAGGATTGAAGAACTGTCTATATTTGTAAATATATCAGAGCAAGAAAAGCACTTCAAGCAAAAAATCTTCAATCCATATCATATTTTTTCCAATTCTATTACTAGGTCTCGAAAAATAGAAATTGATGTCACAGAATATAACTTCAAATCGAAACGAATGGCCAGACACTGAACATGAAAAAATATGTATTATTCAACATGTTTATCGATTCGATTCTCTTTAGTTCGATTGCAATTGACCGCACAATCATTTGAGTCATAATTCATTCAAAAGTTGATTGATTTTCCTTTTTCATAGAAGATCTTCACCGGTAATGCCGACCGCAACACCATCGTGACCAACACTCTGCCTGTATCCCAGATTTGCCGCTATGTCCGCTTGATGCCTGTCAGCTGGTACGGCCACATCAGTCTTCGTATGGAGATCTACGGTGAAGGTCCTTTCACAGGTCAGTTTTAAAACTAGTGATAGTCCAACATTTTTTGCTCCATATTCAATTTCTCTTGCGACAATTACTCTGGGTCCCTTTTTCACTAATCATAGAGGCATAGTGCTACGGTTATAATTAGGTGATACGTACGTAGTTATACGTATCACCTATTGATTTCGTCAAGATTTGTCTTTATTAGGTGAGACGTACGTGGTATTACGATTAAATATCACCTTTTGATTTTGTGAAGATTTTTCTTTATTATTATTCATTCTTCCTCGAATTTGTTCGCAGGATATCTCAAGAATGGATAAAGCCATTGTCATAAAACATGATAATAGATCATAGTCTAACTTAGAACTGTGTGACTCAAATACTTTTTGACGTCATCCAGGCGCCATATTGTAAAAATCAACTCATGATCGTATCTTCATAACAGAAAGTGATTTGTAATTTATTTTTATCATGATTAAGGTCAATACCCCTCCAGTCAATTACAGGTCATTAAACGCGTACGTCCGCGCGCGCAAAATTTAAGATTGCTCCAAATCGTCTCAAATTCATTTTACACTCGTTACAGGCTATTCTGAGCATTTAAACAAATTAAAAATCGCGCGAACGCAAATTGCCATTCTTCTTCATGATATTTTCCATACTTTTCCGAACAATTTGATACCATGTTTATATCTTTATGACAAACTGACGGGGGCAAATCGCCCACCGCCCCCATGTTTTTTGAGCGCTGCTTGCCTCCCATTCCAGCGACCCAGATTCGATTCCTGATGCGTTAAAACATTTTTTTATGTTTTATATTAAAATCGTGAAAACGCGTTCTTCATTATGTACATTAGAATACGTATTACCTAATCTGTCAAGCGACACATTCAAGTATAGTAATGACTTATTATAGGCAAGGGCGGCAATCCGGTGTGTGGGGGGGGGGGGGGGAGGACAGGAGGATATCTCCCCCCCCCCCACAATTTTTTCCTAGGGGGGACATCATATCAAATGTTCCCCATCAAGTTTTGTATACATTGCCAAGGATCTCAATTCCAACCAGTGACATTTTTCTTGTCTGACAGGGGCACATTACGTTTTATGAAACGGTGAGATATTTTCTAAATATATTTTCTTTAAAGGCCACGTTTTTGAAAAAAGATGCTAATATTAAAAGAGATATTTTGTTTGTTTATTTACTTCATTTGAATTATGTAGTAATAGTTTTACAAATAAAGGAATTTATTATTGAACTTTAATTTGTATTTATAATGCCATTTTGACTTCATTTTCCTGTTCACCGCCAATTGAAGATAAATATGTCAAAAGGGACATTATTTTCTCATCCCTTTTATCCCTTTTAATGTCTTTGGAACTCAATTTGCACAGATATCAACGATTGTTCTCCCGATCCTTGTGAGAATGGAGGAACTTGCAGTAATGGAGTGAACACCTTTACTTGTGCCTGCCATCTTGGCTATACTGGGCCTACGTGCGGAACAGGTAAGTCATAGAGTTAAAGTAGATTACATACCAACATGTTTTATATAAAGCAATTGCTCCTTCGTTTATCAAGACATTATAGATAAAGGGCAAACATGGAAATAGAAAGAAAGAAACATACAGTCATTGGTGAGGAAAACCTTGGAGGTTTTTCTTGACTGACAGTCTCATGCCCAGATTGTAACTACACTTTTATGTCCACCCGATAGGATCATTCGATCCTATTTGCCTATTTGACCACCTCTTCCTACATTTTGCTATACATTGTCACGCATTAACTTACAGCCATCTTGAATGGACCTGGCCCTCTGGGGCTTGAGAGTTATTTCATCCCAGATTCAAGTCTGACAGCTTCTAGTGAGTATAGTGCTGACCAGGGTGCAAAGAGAGGTCGTCTTAACCTGGGCCGAGACGGGAACCTGAAGGGAGCCTGGTCTGCACTAATATATGATCGCAAACAGTGGATCCAGGTAAAAAATTATTTCTTAAGGACAATTCGGACCCGAAACATTAGGCAACCCTTATTTCTATGCATGGCATGAATTTATATTCCACCGCTACTACCATGTCAGTAACGAAAGAGTCACCAGTCATTTCTATGGCACTATTTACTTCCACTATTAAAATTGTTTTTAATGGCCACTTTTTGAGGTGGCATATGAGTTTGTAGATTTTCTCTCCACTATGTAGGTAAAGCTACTATAAGATTGCCATAGTTACATAATTATTCACATCCAAGTCAATAATTACTATCATTTTTAAGGGCATTCATCTAATTGTTCGATATTACTCAGAAATGAGATCGACGATTAAAACATCTATGTGTAGAACTTCTTTTTTAAATATTTCCCTTGGAGGGGCAGAGCGGCATGAAATCAAGGTAATGTCATTGATAGGTGCAGAGAAAGAAACCGTTCTTAGTATTTGTATTTAAATCATATAGATTTGACACATTTTGGAACATGCTCATTGGTTACAAGTTTTGTCATGGAGATAGAAATAAATAGATGATTAAGAGGATGAACATCAAGAAAGCTTCCTCCGATTCTTTTCTTTCTACAAGGTGGATCTTTTGGACCTTTACCGTGTCACTTCAGTTGCGACTCAAGGGCGACAAGAATCAAACCAGTGGGTAACAGGCTACAAGCTTGCTTGTAGTATTGATGGCACGAACTTTTACACCGTGCAGGACATCTATAGAAACCCTGTAAATGACAGGGTAAGTTTGATCTCTGATTATTCATTTTTTAAATATTACATTGACTCTATTCTTGTTGGAATTTGAAGGCATTTAATATCTTTTTGATTACAATATTTTTATGTTACGATACTTTCTTTTAAAGAAAAGGGCAATCTTTACCTCAGGAACACATATATAGTTTAGGTGAAGTATACACTATTCTGCTTAGTTACACAAAGTATAAGAGGACAAAACTATTAGGTAGGATTGTCAGAGCAAGTAATGCACTTCAAGCAAAAAATCTTCAATCCATATCATGTGTCTTTCTATTTTATTACTAGGTCTCGAAAACTAGAAATTGATGTCATCAGAATAAAACTTCAAATGGAAACGAATGGACAGGCACTGCACATGCAAAAAATGTATTGTTCAGCATGCTTATCAATTCGATTCTCTTTAGTTCAATTGCAATTGACCGCAGAATCATTTGAGTCATAATTCATTTAAAAGTGGATTGACTTTCCTTTTTCATTGAAGATCTTCATCGGCAATGACGACCGCAACACCATCGTGACCAACACTCTGCATGTACCCCAGATTTGCCGCTATGTCCGCTTGATGCCCTTCACCGCTGTCGGCCACATAAGTCTTCGTATGGAAATCTACGGTGAAGGCCCTATCACAGGTCAGTTTTAAAACTAGTGATACTCTAACATGTTTTGCTCCATATTCAATTTCTCCTGCGACAATTACCCTGGGCCTCTTTTCACCAACAATAGAGGCATAGTGCAACGGTTGTCATTAGGTGATACGTACGTAGTTATACATATCAACTACAGATTTCGTCAAGATTTGTCTTTATTAGGTGATACTTCCTCGAATTTGTTCGCAGGATATCCAGGATATCTCAAGAATGGATAAAGCCATTGTCATAAAACATGATGATAGATCATAGTCTAACTTAGAACTGTGTGACTTTTTATTGATCCAAATCATTTTGACGTCATCCAAGCGCCATTTTGTAAAAATCAACTCATGATTATATCTTCATAACGGAAAGTAATTTCTCATTTATTTTTATCATAATTAAGGTCCATTACAGGTCAATAAACGCGCGCGTACGTATACGTCCGCTATCCGCTTGCGCAACATTTAAAATTGCTCCAAATCGTCTCAAATTCATTTTACATATGTTACAGGCCATTTTGAGCATTTAAAAAAAAAGTAATGCGCTAACGCAAATTGCTATTCTTCTTTCTTCATGATATTTTCGATACTTTTACTAACATTTTGATACGAAATTTATATCTTTATGACTATTCATAACGGAATAAGCGTCCATTCAAGATAAATGTCCGTGCACGCGAGCTCTTGTAATACATAGCATATATGTGCAAAAACATACAAGTCCATTATAGCACTTTGGGGACCGCAATTTATTTTTCATATTTGAATAGAATATGAGTCGGAGACATGATTTCATGTGTCATTTGGCCATTAAGTACATCGTGACCTCATCATAAATGTGTCGAACTCAAAATACGAATTTGCATATTATGACGTCACCATAATAATGGAAAATTTGGTAGAGTGGTCAAAGCACTTGCCTCCCATTCCAGCGACCCAGAGTCGATTCCGATGGGTTAAAACATTTGTTGTTTTAAGTTAAATTCGTGAAAATGCGTTCTTCATTATGTACATTAGAATACGTATTATCTAATTTGTAAAGTGAAAAATTCAAGTACAGTAATGATTTGTTATAGGGTATGATAAAGACTGGTATGATTCATCATGATTATAGCGATTCAACTTTTGGTGCTGAGGTGTCCTGTAGATCAGACTATCCCATGCCATTTCCGCGTACATTTTCAAATTCATTTTTACGCCCAAATGAAAGAAGTTTGTTTTAGTGACATTTTCTTAACTGGCATGGACACACTACGTTTTGTGGGCAATGAGATTTTTTCATAAATATTTTTTCTTTCTAAGGCCACGTTTAAAAAAAAAAAAAGATGCTTACATTCAAAAAGATATTTAGTTCATTTTCTTCATGTGAATTATGTATTAATAGATTTTCAAATTAAGAAATTTATCTATGAATTGTCATTATTTGTATTTAGAATGCAAGTCTTGACTTCGTTTTACCTGTTCACCGCCAAATGAAGATAAATATGTAAAAAGAGACATTATTTTCTCATCCCTTTTATCCCATTTATTGTCTTTGGAACTCAATGCACAGATATCAACGATTGTTCTCCCGATCCTTGTGAGAATGGAGGAATTTGCAGTGATGGAGTGAACACCTTTACTTGTGCCTGCTATCCTGGCTATACTGGGCCTACGTGTGGAACAGGTAATATATAGAGTCAAAGCAGATTACATACCTACACTTTATATATCAAACAATTGCTCCTTGTTCATCAAAACATCATAGATAAAGAGCAAACAATGAAATAGAAAGAAAGAAACATGCAGTCATAGGTAAGGGAAAAATGGGTCGTTTTTCTTGATTGACAGTCAACAGGAGTGAAAGTACAGCCAACAGATCCGAGGGTGTTTCAACTTTTGGTGCAGTAATAAAATAAACTAAACTCTTCTTGATTTCGAGCAGACGCATGAAAAATGGGAATGCATAGTACTTTCAAGAGAAAATTTGAAATTGTGATTACCACAACGATCTCTGATAATAATGATTGTGTGTAAGGTATGTAGTACTGGTATGATTCATCTTTAATATAGCGATTCAACTTTTGGTGCTGTGGTGTCTTGAAGATCTCTATCTCATGCCATTTCCGCATCCATTTCCACATTCATTTCCCGCCAATATGAAAGCAATTTGTTTTATTGACATTTTCTAGTCTAGCAGGGGCACGCTACGTTTTGTGAGACGATGAGATTTTGAGTTTGAGTCGAAAATACGATTTCATGTTCCATTTGGCCATTAACTCTTATCATGCCACAGGGCTAATCCCCATTATGCCAAGCCCCAAATCACGGAGTGCCAAGTTTACATTGAGATAATCTGATTAACGCGTCAAGATATTGTAGGTCAAATTGCGCTGCCATCGGGAAAAAAGATAGAAGGGGGAGGGAAAAAAGAGAGGGAAAGGGAAAGAAAATAAAAAAAGAAAAGGAAAAGAAAGGAAAGAAAACAGAAGAAAGAAAGAGAAAAAGGAAAAAGAGGGAGGAGAGGAAAGAAAGGAAAAGAAAGAGAAGAAAGAACAGGAAAAAAAAGAAAAAAGAGAAAAGGGAAACAAAAGAAACGGGGGATGAAAGAGAGGAGAGAGAGGGGAGGTTGTTGAGTGGAGTCGTCTCGCGGAGGGAGCAGCAAAGACATGGGTAAAAATGTTGCTATGTCGGGTCAGCTGTGTCGGTATTCTTGATCGATCCTCGTGTACTCTATCAATGCAGAAATTTGAAGTCGGTGAGATGTATATTGTCGGTCGGCCAACAAGTTTTTCTTCCTACGAACTGACTTTTTATCCGCTGTGACGACTTCGAGAGTGACTACAACTACAATACTTGTATTTTCTCGAAGTTTCACTTTCCTATAATATCAGCTAAAGATATCAGAGGTTTAACATTTTCGGGAAAACTAAATTCAAAGAAGGATTAAGAGTCAACAACGGTACGACAAATCGTCTTCCTTTCTCTATAATTTGAACAAACGCCAAAACTTCCGCGCTTCGCGCGGGAGGGGGAGAACTGAATTCAGATAAGAATAAGAGTCGAGGACATTACACCGAATCCTCTTCTTTTTCTCATAATATAATGAAATGTCAAAGCTTCCGCGCTTCGCGCGGGAGAGGCCGAACTAAATTCAGATAAGGATTAAGAGTCGAGCACGGTTCAACAAATCGTTTGCTTTCTCTCATAATTTAAGGAAACGTCAAAAATTCGGCGCTTCGCGCGGGAGGGGGAGAATTGAATTCAGATAAGGATTAACAGTCGAGAACAGTACACCGAATCGTCTTTTTTCTATAATAATTAAATCAAACGTCTAATCTTCAGCGCTTCACGCTAAAGTGGGGGGGGGGGGGGACTGAATTCAGACAATTAGGGCTTATTAAGAGTCGAAAACGGTACAACGAATCGTCTGCTTTCTCTCATAATGTAATGAAACGTCAAAACTTCTGCGCTTTGTGCGAAAGATAAGGATTAAGACTCGAGAACAGTACAGCGAATCGTCTGCTTTTTCTCTTAATTTATTGACACATCACTTCTGCGCTTTGCGCGGGAGGGGGAGAAACTGAATTTAGACAAGGATTAACAGTCGAAAACGGTACAGCAAATCGTCTTCTTTTTATAATAATTTAATGAAACGTCAAAGCTATCGCGCTTCGCGCGGAAGAAGGGGGGATTCATTCAGACAAGGATTAACAGTCAAGAACGGAACAATAACAAATCTTTTTTTTCTATTAATTTAAGGACACGTCTAAGCGTCCGCGCTTCGCGCGGGAGGCCTATCACCCACACCCCCTAATGAGCGCGCTTCGCGCGCTCTTTAAGTAATTCGCTTGCTCACCATACTGTAGCCTTTTGACAAGGCCTCGTGACTCTGGCTAAGCGGCTGAGATGAGTCTAGATACCCAGGGTGAACGCGCGACCGCCACGAGAGCCTTTTGCAATCTGGATATTACTGCTCCGCATGAATTATTCATAGCATTGGATTTATTGACCAATTAGAACGGCCATCCCCTAGCCCCCAGTTGGCTTAGTTCGTGATTCGTTCATTATCAAAACATGTAAGAACGTCAGTGTGTGTGTAAACTATGAACGTCAGTTCATAGTTAGTAGGTCCATGTTTGTACTATACGTACAGTTTACTCCATGTGTGTGCGGGTGTGTGTGTGTGTGTGTGTGATGGATACTTTATGCTGACGTAATGCGAGGTTACGTTCGGTGATTGGACGCTATTTCTTCTTCTTCTGGGTTACTCCTCAACGTTCTATTATTTCGGTAGAGTATTCCAGTCGGAAACAAAGGTTAACATAAGAAATCGAAACCACATTACCAAAGGCTAACTGGCTGTGATTCTCGCTCTGTTGTTCACTCGGGCTTTCGCGATTAGTCTTTTTTTAGTCGCTCGGCGTCTATCAGACAGGTGGCCTTGTTCAAAGGCTAACCATACTGCCGCCCCTCCCTAAAATAAGATCCTATATAGCTCCGCGCCTGCATTAAAACATATAGCTATGATGATGCTGACTAAGTTGACGAACTAATTCGTATATTTATATCGTTGAGGAAAATGACCATTTGCGCATACGCAAGTACTATAGATAGTCCATAGCCAGGAAAAACAATTTAGCCTTCGGTCCCTGGTTTATAGGGTTAAATTTGTAGATATTGGGACAATTTTGTCGGTAATTGGTGGCTAGTTTTGTCGTTAATCGTTGGCGTCTACACCCCCCCCCCCCCACTGAAAAAGGTCTAGCGACGCCCCTGAAAGCACTATAACGGTAGCGTGCATGCAGCCTCATGGCAGGCTATGAGTTAAGTACATCGTGACGTCATCATAATGGTCTTGGAACTAAAAAAACGAATTTGCATATTATGACGTCAGCAAATTTATGAAAAATTGAATGTATCTTTATAAATATTGATTGCTTTTCTCCCAATTTTTGATATGTAGTTTTTGAGCCGATTTTCTACACAAAAGGTGCCATTGATTTTTCATTTCAACATTGGCATCATGGTCCATTCTGTCGAGTAAAAAGGCATGCCAATTTTGCTCGAATTCTCTATGGGAGGTGAATTTTTCTGGAATCTTCATTCTACATTCCAGTCTTGTTCGAGCAATATCTCGATTCTTTTATGCCAGCTTCAATTTGAGAATCAAATTTTCCGTTTACGTGTTATGTCTATGTGGATTTTGGGGGTATATTTGTCATGGCATTTGCCTCCCATCCCGGCGATCATCTTTCATAGATCCAAAATGATCAATGCTACACAGTTGAAACTTCATTAATTGATAGACCATAATAGGAGGAATATATCATAACGGAAGTTGAATTCGTTAAAATGCATTCTTCATTGTGTAACACATTTGAATACGTATCACCTAATTTGTCGAGTGACGAATTCAAGTCTAGTTGAGTCTTAGGTTAGGTTCAGAGATAGGGTAAGGTATAGTCCTCGTTTAAGGGTTGAATTTAAGACTTCGGTTATCATATTATATATGGCATTTGGTGTGGAGGGTTGTTATACCTAAGAATTCGATTTGTAGAACAGGTAAGATATAGAGTCAAAGCAGATTCCATACCTACACTTTTTTATAAAGTAATTGCTCCTTGTACTTGGTGAGGAAAACCTTGAAGATTTGTATTGACTGACGGTCTCAAGCCCGGATTGTAATACACACTTGTCTATTGTATGTCCATCTTATTGGATCATTCGATTCTTTTTGCCTATTTGACCACCACTTCCTACATTTTGACATACATTGTCACGCATTAACTTACAGCCATCTTGAATGGACCTGGCCCTCTGGGACTTGAGAGTTATTTCATCCCAGATTCAAGTCTGACAGCTTCTAGTGAGATTAGTGCTGACATGGGTGCAAATAGAGGTCGTCTTAACCTGGGCCGAGACGGGAACCTGACGGGAGCCTGGATTGCACGAATTATAGATGATCGCAACCCGTGGATCCAGGTAACAAAATAATTCTTAAGGACAATTCGGACACGAAACATTAGGCAACCCTTATTTCTATGCATGGCATGAATTTATATTCCACCGCTACTACCATGTCAGTAACGAAAGAGTCACCAGTCATTTCTATGGCACTATTTACTTCCACTATTAAAATTGTTTTTATTGGCAACTTTTTGAGGTGGCATATGAGTTTGTAGATTTTCTCTCCACTATGTAGGTAAAGCTACCATTAGATTGCCATAGTTACATAATTATTCACATCCAAGTCAATAATTACTTTCATTTTTAAGGGCATTCATCTAATTGTTCGATATTACTCAGAAATGAGATCGACAATTAAAACATCAATGTGTAGAACTTCTTTTTTAAATATTGCCCTTGGAGGGGCAGAGCAGCATGAAAGCGAGGTAATGTCATTGATAGGTGCAGAGAAAGAAACCATTCTTAGTATTTGTATTTAAATCATATAGATTTGACTCATTTTGGAACAGGCTCATTGGTTACAAGTTTTGTCATGGAGATAGAAATAAATAGATGATTAAGAGGATGAACATCAAGAAAGCTTCCTCCGATTCTTTTCTTTCTACAAGGTGGATCTTTTGGACCTTCACCGTGTCACTTCAGTTGCGACTCAAGGGCGACAAGAATCAGACCAGTGGGTAACAAGCTACAAGCTTGCTTGTAGTACTGATGGCAAGACCTTTTACACCGTACAGGACATCTCTACAAACCCTGCAAATGACAGGGTAAGTTTGATCTCTGATTATTCATTTTTTAAATATTACATCGACTTTATTCTTGTAGGAATTTGAAGGCATTTAATATCTTTTTGATTAAAATATTTTTATGTTCCGATACTTTCATTTAAAGAAAAGGGCAATCGTTACCTCAGGAACACATATACAGTTTAGCTGAAGTATATACTATTCTGCTTAGGTACACAAAGTATAAGAGGACAAAAATATTAGGTAGGATTGTCAGAGCAAGTAATGCACTTCAAGCAAAAAATCTTCAATCCATATCATGTGTCTTCCTATATTATTACTAGGTCTCGAAAACTAGAAATTGATGTCATCAGAATAAAACTTCAAATGGAAACGAATGGACAGGCACTGCACATGCAAAAATATGTATTGTTCAGCATGCTTATCAATTCGATTCTCTTCAGTTCGATTGCAATTGACCGCAGAATCATTTGAGTCATAATTCATTAAAAAAAAAATTGAATTTCCTTTTTCATTGAAGATCTTCATCGGCAATGACGACCGCAACACCATCGTGACCAACACTCTGCTTGTACCCCAGATTTGCCGCTATGTCCGCTTGATGCCCTTAACCGCTTACGGCCACGTATGTCTTCGTATGGAAATCTACGGTGAAGGCCTTATCACAGGTCAGTTTTAAAACTAGTGATACTCCAACATGTTTTGCTCCATATTCAATTTCTCCTGCGACAATTACTCTGGGCCTCTTTTCACCAACAACAGAGGCATAGTGCTACGGTTGTTATTAGTTGATACGTACGTAGTTATACGTATCAACTACAGATTTCTTCAACATTTGTTTTTATTAGGTGATACTTCCTCGAATTTGTTCGCAGGATATCCAGGATATCTCAAGAATGGATAAAGCCATTGTCATAAAACATGATGATAGATCATAGTCTAACTTAGAACTGTGTGACTTTTCATTGATCCAAATTATTTTGACGTCATCCAAGCGCCATTTTTAAAAAATCAACTCATGATTATATCTTCATAACGGAAAGTAATTTCTCATTTATTTTTATCATAATTAAGGTCCATTACAGGTCAATAAACGCGCGCGTACGCATACGTCCGCTATCCGCTTGCGCAAAATTTAAAATTGCTCCAAATCGTCTCAAATTCATTTTACATATGTTACAGGCCATTTTGAGCATTTAAAAAAAAATAATTGGCTAACGCAAATTGCTATTCTTCTTTCTTCATGATATTTTCGATACTTTTACGAACATTTTGATACGAAGTTTATATCTTTATGACTATTCATAACGGAATAAGCGTCCATTCAAGATAAATGTCCGTGCACGCGAGCTCTTGTAATACATAGCATATATGTGCAAAAACATACAAGTCCATTATAGCTCTTTGGGGACCGCAATTAATTTTTCATATTTGAATAGAAATGATTTCAAGTGTCATTTGGCCTTTAAGTACATCGTGACCTCATCATAAATGTGTCAAACTCAAAATACGAATTTGCATATTATGACGTCACCATAATTATGGACAATTTGGTAGAGTGGTCAAAGCACTTGCCTCCCATTCCAGCGACCCAGATTCGATTCCGATGGGTTAAAACATTTGTTGTTTGAAATTAAATTCGTGAAAATGCGTTCTTCATTATGTACATTATAATACGTATTATCTAATTTGTAAAGTGAAAAATTCAAGTACAGTAATGATTTGTTATAGGGTATGATAAAGACAGGTATGATCCATCCTGATTATAGCGATTCAACTTTGGGTGCTGAGGTGTCTCATGCCATTTCTGCGTCCAATTTCATGCCATTTCTGCGTCCATTTTCACATTCATTTCACGCCCAAATAAAAGAAATTCGTTTTAGTTTCATTTTCTTGTCTGGCAGGGGCATATTACGTTTTGTGAGATGATGAGGTTTTTCTTGATTGGCAGTCAACAGGAGTGAAAATACAGACAAAAGATGCGAGGGTGTTTCAACCTTTGGTGCAGTAATGAAATAAACTACACTCTTCTTGATTTCGAGAAGACATATGAAAATGGTAGTGCATGGTACTTTCAAGAGCGAATTTGATATAGTGATTACCACAACGATATCTGATAATTATGATTTGTTTTAGGATATGATAATACTGGTGTGATTCATCATGATTATAGCGATTAAACTTTTGGTGCTGAGGTGTCCTGTAGATCAGACTATCACATGCCATATCTGCGTCCATTTTCAAATTCATTTCACGCCCAAATGAAAAATTTGTTTAAGTGACATTTGTTTAACTTGAATGGACACACAACGTTTTGTGAGACGATGAAATTTTTTCAAAATATATTTTTATTTCTTAGGCCATGTTTTTGAAAAAAGATTTTAACCTCTAAAGAGATATTTAGTTACTACATTTGATTCATGTATTACTAGATTTTCAAATGAAGGAATTTATCCCTGAATTGTCATTATTTGTATTTAGAATGCAAGTTTTGACTTCATTTTTACCTGTTCACCGCCAAATGAAGATAAATATGTCAAAAGGGGCATTATTTTCTCATCCCTTTTATCCCATTTATTGTCTTTGGAACTCAATTTGCACAGATATCAACGATTGCTCTCTTGATCCTTGTGAGAATGGAGGAATTTGCAGTGATGGAGTGAACACCTTTACTTGTGCCTGTGACCCTGGCTATACTGGGCCTACGTGTGGAACAGGTAATATATAGAGTCAAAGCAGATTACATACCTACACTCTTTATATAAAACAATTGCTCCTTGTTCATCAAAACATTATAGATAAAAAGCAGACAAGGAAATAGAAAGAAAGAAACATGCAGTCATTGGTGATGAAAACTTTGAAGGTTTTTCTTGATGGACAGTCAACAGGAATGAAATAACAGACAAAAGATGCGAAGGTGTTTCACCTTTTGGTGCAGTAATCAAATAAACTACACTCTTCTTGATTTCGAGTAGACACATGAAAAGTGGTAGTGCATGGTACTTTTAAGAGCAAATTTGATATAGTGATTACCACAACGATCTCTGAGAATTATGATTTGTTTTAAGACATGATAATACTGGTGTGATTCATCATGATTATAGCGATTAAACTTTTGGTGCTGAAGTGTCCTGTAGATCAGACTATCCCATGCCATTTCCGCGTCCATTTTTAAATTCATTTCACGCCCAAATGAAAGAAATTTGTTTTAGTGACATTTTCTTAATTGGCATGGACACACTACGTTTTGTGAGACGATAAATTTTTTCAAAATATATTTTTATTTCTAAGGCCATGTCTTTGAAAAAAGATGATAACTTTAAAAGAGATGCTAACTTTAAAAGAGATATTCAGTTCATCTCCTTCATTTGAATTATGTATTAATAGATTTTCTAATGAAGGAATATATCCCTGAACTGTCATTATTTGTATTTAGAATGCAAGTTTTGACTTCTTTTTACCTGTTCAACGCCAAATGAAGATAAATATGTCAAAAGGGGCATTGTTTTCTCATCCCTTTTATCCCATTTATTGTCTTTGGAACGCAATTTGCACAGATATCAACGATTGTTCTCTTGATCCTTGTGAGAATGAAGGAATTTGCAGTGATGGAGTGAACACCTTTACTTGTGCCTGCGATCCCGGCTATACTGGGCATACGTGTGAAACAGGTAAGATATAGAGTCAAAGCAGATTACATACCTACACTCTTTATATAAAACAATTACTCCTTGTTCATCAAAACATTATAGATAAAAAGCAGACAAGGAAATAGAAAGAAAGAAACATGCAGTCATTGGTGATGAAAACTTTGAAGGTTTTTCTTGATGGGCAGTCAACAGGAGTGAAATAACAGACAAAAGATGCGAAGGTGTTTCACCTTTTGGTGCAGTAATCAAATAAACTACACTCTTCCTGATTTCGAGTAGACATATGAAAAGTGGTAGTGTCTTTGAAAAAAGATGATAACTTTAAAAGAGATGCTAACTTTAAAAGAGATATTCAGTTCATCTCCTTCATTTGAATTATGTATTAATAGATTTTCTAATGAAGGAATATATCACTGAACTGTCATTATTTGTATTTAGAATGCAAGTTTTGACTTCTTTTTACCTGTTCAACGCCAAATGAAGATAAATATGTCAAAAGGGGCATTGTTTTCTCATCCCTTTTATCCCATTTATTGTCTTTGGAACGCAATTTGCACAGATATCAACGATTGTTCTCTTGATCCTTGTGAGAATGAAGGAATTTGCAGTGATGGAGTGAACACCTTTACTTGTGCCTGCGATCCCGGCTATACTGGGCATACGTGTGGAACAGGTAAGATATAGAGTCAAAGCAGATTACATACCTACACTCTTTATATAAAACAATTGCTCCTTGTTCATCAAAACATTATAGATAAAAAGAAAAAAAAATAGAAAGAAAGAAACATGCAGTCATTGGTGATGAAAACTTTGAAGGTTTTTCTTGATGGGCAGTCAACAGGAGTGAAATAACAGACAAAAGATGCGAAGGTGTTTCACCTTTTGGTGCAGTAATCAAATAAACTACACTCTTCTTGATTTCGAGTAGACATATGAAAAGTGGTAGTGTCTTTGAAAAAAGATGATAACTTTAAAAGAGATGCTAACTTTAAAAGAGATATTCAGTTCATCTCCTTCATTTGAATTATGTATTAATAGATTTTCTAATGAAGGAATATATCCCTGAACTGTCATTATTTGTATTTAGAATGCTAGTTTTGACTTCTTTTTACCTGTTCAACGCCAAATGAAGATAAATATGTCAAAAGGGGCATTGTTTTCTCATCCCTTTTATCCTATTTATTGTCTTTGGAACGCAATTTGCACAGATATCAACGATTGTTCTCTTGATCCTTGTGAGAATGAAGGAATTTGCAGTGATGGAGTGAACACCTTTACTTGTGCCTGCGATCCCGGCTATACTGGGCATACGTGTGGAACAGGTAAGATATAGAGTCAAAGGAGATTACATACCTACACTCTTTATATAAAACAATTGCTCCTTGTTCATCAAAACATTATAGATAAAAAGCAGACAAGGAAATAGAAAGAAAGAAACATGCAGTCATTGGTGATGAAAACTTTGAAGGTTTTTCTTGATGGGCAGTCAACAGGAGTGAAATAACAGACAAAAGATGCGAAGGTGTTTCACCTTTTGGTGCAGTAATCAAATAAACTACACTCTTCTTGATTTCGAGTAGACATATGAAAAGTGGTAGTGCATGGTACTTTTAAGAGCAAATTTGATATAGTGATTACCACAACGATCTCTGATAATTAATATTTGTTTTAAGATATGATAATACTGGTGTGATTCATCATGATTATAGCGATTAAACTTTTGGTGCTGAAGTGTCCTGTAGATCAGACTATCCCATGCCATTTCCGCGTCCATTTTTAAATTCATTTCACGCCCAAATGAAAGAAATTTGTTTTATTGACATTTTCTTAATTGGCATGGACACACTACGTTTTGTGAGACGATGAGATTTTGAGTTTGAGTCGAAAATACGATTTCATGTTCCATTTGGCCATTAACTCTTATCATGCCACAGGGCTAATCCCAATTATGCCAAGCCCCAAATCACGGAGTGCCAAGTTTACATTGAGATAATCTGATTAACGCGATTAAAATTGCGCTGCCATCGGGAAAAAAAAGAGAAGGGGGAGGGAAAAAAGAGAGGTAAAGGGAAAGAAAATAAAAAAAGAAAAGGAAAAGAAAGGAAAGAAAAGAGAAGAAAGAAAGAGAAAAAAGGAAAAAGAGGGAGGAGAGGAAAGAAAGGAAAAGAAAGAGAAGAAAGAAAAGGAAAAAAGAAGAAAAAAGAGAAAAGGGAAACAAAAGAAACGGGGGATGAAAGAGAGGAGAGAGAGGCACTATGAACATGACGGACAAAGAAAGCGGACAAAATATACAGTTCCTCAGGTAGACAAAGGAACATCCCTTCACTGCTATTATGTAAAAAGGTGAATATGCATGTGACACCTGTTCTAAACATTTTTAACATAATAGCAGTGAAGGGATGTTCCTTTGTCTACCTAAGGAACTGTATATTTTGTCCGCTTTCTTTGTCAGTCATGTTCATAGTGAGGGGGGAGGTTGTTGAGTGGAGTCGTCTCGCCGAGGGAGCAACAAAGACATGGGTAAATATGTTGCTATGTTGGGTCAGCTGTGTCGGTATTCTTGCTCGATCCTCGAGGAACTAGATCAATGCAGAATGTTGAAGTCGGTCAGATGTATATTGTCGGTCGGCCAACACGTTTTTCTCCCTACGAACTGACTTTTTATCCGCTGTGACGACTTCGAGAGTGACGACAACTACAATACTTGTATTTTCTCGAAGTTTCACTTTCCTATAATATCAGCTAAAGATATCAGAGGTTTAAGATTTTCGGGAAAACTAAATTCAAAGAAGGATTAAGAGTCAACAACGGTACGACAAATCGTCTTCCTTTCTCTATAACTTGATGGAACGCCAAAACTTCCGCGCTTCGCGCGGGAGGGGAGAACTGAATTCAGATAAGGAATAAGAGTCGAGGACATTACACCGAATCCTCTTCTTTTTCTCATAATATAATGAAATGCCAAAGCTCCCGCGCTTCGCGCGGGAGAGGGAGAACTAAATTCAGATAAGGATTAAGAGTCGAGCACGGTTCAACAAATCGTTTGCTTTCTCCAATAATTTAAGGAAACGTCAAAAATTCGGCGCTTCGCGCGGGAGGGGGAGAATTTAATTCAAATAAGGATTAACAGTCGAGAACAGTACACCGAATCGTCTTCTTTCTATAATAATTAAATCAAACGTCTAAGCTTCAGCGTTTCAAGCTAAAGTGGGGGGGGGGGGGGACTGAATTCAGACAATTAGGGCTTATAAGAGTCGAAAACAGTACAACGAATCGTCTGCTTTCTCTCATAATTTAATGAAACGTCAAAACTTCTGCGCTTTGCGCGAAAGAGGGAAACTTTATTCAGATAAGGATTAAGACTCGTGAACAGTACAGCGAATCGTCTGCTTTTTCTCTTAATTTAATGACACATCACTTCTGCGCTTCGCGCGGGAGGGGGAGAAACTGAATTTAGACAAGGATTAACAACAAATCAGTACAGCAAATCGTCTTCATTTTATAATAATTTATTGAAACGTCAAAGCTATCGCGCTTCGCGCGGGAGAGGGGGGGGGGGATTCATTCAGACAAGGATTAACAGTCGAGAACGGTACAATAAAAAATCTTCTTTTCCTATTAATTTAAGGAAACGTCTAAGCTTCCGCGCTTCGCGCGGGAGGCCTATCACCCACACCCCCCTAATGAACGCGCTTCGCGCGCTCTTTAAGTGATTCGCTTGCTCACTATACTGCCGCCCCTCCTAAAATAAGATCCTATATAGCTCCGCGCCTGCATTAAAACATATAGCTATGATGTTGACTAAGTTGACGAACTAATTCGTATATTTATATCGTGGCAAGCCTAGATAAACGCGCCCTACAACTACAATACTTGTATTTTCTTGAAGTTTTACTTTCCTATAATATCAGCTAAAGAAATCAGAGGTTTAACATTTTCGGGGAAACTAAATTCAAAGAAGGATTAAGAGTCAACAACGGTACGACAAATCGTCTTCCTTTCTCTATAATTTGATGAAACGCCCAAACTTCCGCGCTTCGCGCGGGAGGAGGAGAACTGAATTCAGATAAGGAATAAGAGTCGACGACATTACACCGAAGCTACTGCTTTTTCTCATAATTTAATGAAATGCCAAAGCCATAGGGAGCACTAAATTCAGATAAGGATTAACAGTCGAGAACAGTACACCGAATCGTCTTCTTTCTATAATAATTAAAACAAACGTCGAAGCTTCAGCGCTTCGCGCTAAAGGGGGGGGGGGGAACTGAATTCAGACAATTAGAGCTTATTGAAGGTACTATGTCTCATTTGCAGGCCAAAAAAATGAAAAAGTTAAATTCAAACTGCATTTGAAAGATATACTAATTTAGAACTTCCCTAAAAAAGGTGGGGCTTGAAAATGTCTTCAAGTGGGAAAATAACGACTATTCGTTGTCAAATCGACTTTAGGGCTATAGAGCCCAAAAGTAATAGTCTTGATTTTCAGACAATTGTACCGAATGGTCATACGTTTTATGCTGCGCAAAGATTCAATAAGTTTAATCTTGGCCATCACAAGAAGTGGGTTATTGATGTAGACAAATGCTCATGTACCCTTTACAACTCTTTTCATGTATGTTATTACCAAAGAAGAAAACAAGCCAGTCAGTCACTCAATAGTGTCCGACAGTAAAGTCTAGCAAGTAAACGGGTTTCCTTGCATAATTTGAATACGAGGACACTGCTAACGTTTAAATTTCACAGATAGGACATACATGACATATTCATAATTCCTGCAAAGTTCTACAGCATTTGAGGTTGGCTGCAAAAGGGACAAAGTACCTTTAAGAGTCGAAAACGGTACAACGAATCGTCTGCTTTCTCTCATAATTTAATGAAACGTCAAAACTTCTGCGCTTTGCGCGGGAGAGGGGAACTTTATTCAGATATGGATTAAGAGTCGAGAACAGTACAGCGAATCGTCTGCTTTTTCTCTTAATTCAATGACACGTCACTTCTGCGCTTTGCGCGGGAGGGGGAGAAACTGAATTCAGACAAGGATTAACAGTCGAGAACAGTACAATAAAAAGTCTTCTTTTCCTATTAATCCTATTAACCGCCCCTTCCTAAAATAAGATCTTATATATCTCCGCGCCTGCATTAAAACATATAGCTATGATATTGACTAAGTTGACGAACTAATTCGTATATTTATATCGTTGAGGAAAATGACCATTTGCGCATACGCAAGTACTATAGTTAGTCCATAGCCAGGAAAAACAATTTAGCCTTCGGTCCCGGGTTTATAGGGTTAAATTTGTAGACATTGGGACATTTAATTTTGTCGGTAATTGGTGGCTAGTTTTGTCGGTAATCGTTGGCGTCTACACCCCCCCCCCCCACTGAAAAAGGTCTAGCGACGCCCCTGAAAGCACTATACCCATAGCGTGCATACAGCCTCATGGCAGGCTATGAGTTAAGTACATCGTGACGTCATCATAATGGTCTTGGAACTAAAAAAACGAATTTGCATATTATGACGTCAGCAAATTTATGAAAAATAGAATGTATCTTTATAAATATTGATTGCTTTTCTCCCAATTTTTGATATGTAGTTTTTGAGCCGATTTTCTACACAAAAGGTGCCATTGATTTTTCATTTCAACAATGGCATCATGGTCCATTCTGTCGAGAAAAAAGGCATGCCAATTTTTCCGATTTTGCTTGTATTCTCTATGGGAGGTGAATTTGTTGGAAATCTTCATTCTACATTCCAGTCTTATTCGAGCAACATTTCGATTCTTTTCTGCCAGCTTCAATTTGAGAATCAAATTTTCCGTTTAAGTGTTATGTCTATGTGGATTTTTTGGTATATTTGTCATGGCATTTGCCTCCCATCCCGGCGATCATCTTTCATAGATCCAAAATGATCAATGCTACACAGTTGAAACTATATTTATTGATAGACCATAATAGGAGGAGTATTTCATAACGGAAGTTGGATTCGTGAAAATGCGTTCTTCATTATGTAACACATTTGCATACGTATCACCTAATTCGTCGAGTGACGAACTCAAGTCTAGTTGAGTTTTAGGTTAGGTTCAGAGATAGGGTAAGGTATAGTCCTCGTTTAAGGGTTGCATTTAGAACTTCGGTTATCATATTATATATGGCATTTAGTGTGGAGGGTTGTTATACCTAAGAATTCGATTTGTAGAAGGCAATTGACTTAATACGGCAGGGCTCTTTAAGAGAGGGTTGAGATTGAAATCTTGAGGATCTCTTTGCATGTACCCCAGTCCCCCGGAGTAAATTTCTAAATTGACAGTGTGCACCAGACACCTGTTAAGGTCAATTTCACCCAAGGTCTATTATCCTAGAAATCTGATGGGAATGTGGTAGGGGTACACTGCCCTAGGAGGTGGAAATCCTAAAGATATAGATGTCCAGAGGCAATCGCTCTAGAGGATATTGACTTAGGGGATGGCAGAGTAGTCTTTTTGGATCCATGTCCAAGGGTGCATTGTCTAAGTGGGTAGGTTTTCCAGGGAATAGTAGACCAAGTCAGTGTAGTCTGTGGGGATACATGTAAGATGGTGCATCATCCTAGTGGGTAGCTTGTTTAGGGGATGAAAGACCTAGTTAGAATATTTGTTGGGATACATGTCCAAGCATGGAGTTACCATGGTCCAAGGGTGCATTGTCCTGGTGGGCAGGTTGTCCAGGGGATAGTTGTTAGAAGGTTTTTTGTCTGATACTAGAACGCTCATTTCCGACAGAATTATGATCCACAGCCAATCATAGCCGTATAATACAATGTAGTTTAACTAGTAAAGAGTACTGTTTACAGTATAGAAAGTTTGTGGTCAATCTTGTTCATTAATCCATTATTCATTTATATGTAAACATTAAAAGGGACTCAAGGTTTTATGAAACATGCTCTGATAAAAATATCTCTTCGATCAACACAGTCCTTACTTCAGTAATAGCTCGAACTATATCTCTTCTATGACATGAAGCCATGTGTCCTCAGACCAAAACGGTTATTCTAATGTGGTTTGTTTAGAACACCATTCAAGGAATGGCCGCACTTACCATTATAAGTTGACTTGATCAAAATTCCTCCATATATCCACGGATGTTTTAAACATGGATAGGTCTCGTTGAATAGCTTTTGATTCCCCTCGTTTCATTGTAATACATCTACCTGTAGAACATGGAATGCTTTGCTTGTTTATTCATGAGCAGATATCAAGTACTTGTCTTGGAGAGGACCTTACAATTTTTACAAATAATCTTTTTTTCTGCTCATGCCCAGATTGTAATTACACACTTGTCTATTGTATGTCCATCTGATAGAAGCATTCGATCATATTTGCCTATTTGACCACCACTTCCTACATTTTTCTATACATTGTCACGCATTAACTTACAGCTATCTTGAATAAGCCTGGTCTGGGCCTTGAGAGTTATGTTATCCCGGATTCCAGTCTTACAGCTTCCAGTGCGTATAGAAGTCCCGAGTCTGGCAACTTTACCGCAAATAAAGGTCGTCTTAACCTGGCCGAAACAGCCTGGGGCGCAGAAACAGAAGATACCGAACAGTGGATCCAGGTAAGAAAAATGTCTTAAAGTAGATATTCATTGATTTTAAAAACTAACTTTATTTTCATTATTGCAAAGTTGAAACTGTGATTTGACAATGTTATCTAAATGCAATGCTTGGAAACATGTGAAGTAATGATTATTATAAATTACAAAAACGCTTAAATACAGCCCCGGCATAGCACCTGAAGAGCTCTCCGAACGCTGCTGATATTATGTGTGACATCACAGTATGGACATTATTTGCACAAGCAGACGAAGTCCAATGACATCTTACACATTTTCAGTGCCTGTTTTTTCATCTTCTCTTGAGTTCTTTCTCTTACTTCACTACCGTCAGGCTAAATGTATAATATATTGCCTCACTCTAAACCCCGCGCATGGTTTTATTTTGATTACAAATGCAGCGATACACAAATAAAGGAATCTGTCGCTTGTAAACAAAATAAGACGCCATGGTATATTCAGCTGCACACACCGCGGTATTGTCGGCGTTTCAAGAGGGAACAAATGCCGTCCTTAATATCATTCCGGGGGTTTTTAATTTGAAAGTCTGGCTTCTTCGATTGTTAAATAACCCCTATCCTATGTATTTACAAACAAAAGATTTTAGTTATCAGAATCGGTTTCATATACCCTTTTGAATGGTTTGATAGGCCATCACATTTATATACACTAAACTCGTTATAATTTGACAAATAATAGCTTTGCAATTATGTTAATTTTGTATGGGATGTCGTCTGCTTGGGCAATAGGGACTTTTAGATTTACGTGGACTGATACTTGTGACTTCCTTTCAAGGCAGTGCATTAAATGGACGTTGATTGTAGCAATCCCCATTGTCTTCGTGCGAATCTAAAAGTACCTAATATTGGTCAATATTGTGACGTCATTAGAACATCGTTATTTTTCTGGCGAATCTCTCGTATCTCCCAGCTGCTATGGAGGTGGTTGTATTTGTATTTTTATAAATCATCCGATATGCAGTTGACCTAAAAACTTATACGATGGCCATCTGTTAGCTTACCAGTTTCTAGTGAAACATTAGTTGACATATTTGTGATTTTCTTGGAATTTCCACTTTAAGGCCAATTCAGACACAAAGGCCCGAATTCAAAAAGGAGGTTTGTCGTCAAACCTCTTTTGTGAATTCGGGCCACAATTTTAAGGCAACATGACGTCACAAACTGATTACAATAATAGCAATTTGTGTTGTGATTCTCATTGTTCTATAGTTTTACATACTTTTTCAAAAATTCATAACTTTCTTATTAGTTATCCGATTTTGCTCAATTTTTGTTTGATTGGTTTGTCTGATTTTCTGCGTAGTTTAATTTGCATTCATACCCTGCCACAATGTATGTAATAAGAGTCACCAGTCATTTCTTTGGCATGTGTTCATATCGCATCAGTACCACCTTGTCAGTAATGAAAGAGTCAATAGGCATTTTTATGGCACCCTTCACTTACACTGTTAAAATTGTTTCTATTGGCCACTTTTTGAGGTGATTTATGGGTTCTCTCCTCTTTGTAGGTAAGCTAGCATTTGTTTCCTCTTTAAGGACATTAATATAATTGTTCGATATCACTCAGAAATAATATCGTCAATGACAGCATCAATGTGGAAAACTTCCAATCAAATATTGCCCTTGGAGGAGCAGAGCTTTATGAGAGCAAGATAATGTCATTGATAGATGCAAAAAAAAGTAGCGTTCTTATTATCTTGAAAAATCATATAGATTTGACACATTTTGGAATATGCTCATTGGTTAAAATTGTTGGCATGAATATGAAATTATTATTAGCATGAATATCAAGAGTTCTTCTTCCCATTCTTTTTTTTCCCCAAGGTGGATCTTTTGGAACCTTACCGTATCATTGCAGTTGCGACTCAAGGGAATGGAAAAACCTCAGACAAGGGGTATCGTGAGTGGGTAACAAGCTACAAGCTTGCTTGTAGAACTGATGACACGCCCTTTCACACCGTGCTGGACATCAATGGAGATGACAGTGTAAGTTTGTTCTCTGATCATTTTTTAAAATAAATATTATATTGACTCTATTCTTTAAGAACTTTGAAGGAATTTGATATCTTATTGAAAACAGTTAAAATATTTGTATGCAATTTTTTTGAAAGAGAAAGGCAATTGTTACCTCAGGAACAGAGTTACATGTTAGGTGTACTATTTACTATTTTTACACAATGTTTAAGAGGAGAAAATTATCAGGTAGAATTGAAGAACTGTTTATCTTTATAGATAGGTTAGAGCAAGAAATGCACTCAATCTATTTCAATTTCTTTTCTCCATTTAATTATTAGGCCTGTAAAACTAAAAGTAGATGTAACCAGAATATGACTACAAATATAAAATAAATAGGTAGATCTACTGTACAAGCAAAAAATGCTTTTAAATCAGATTCTCTTTTGTTCGGTTGCAATTAACTGTAACATCATTTGAGTCATAATAATTCAAAAGTGGATTGATTTTCCTTTTTCATTGAAGATCTTCACCGGTAACTTTGACAAGAACACCATCGTGACCAACACTCTGTCTGTGCCCCAGGTTTGCAGATATGTCCGCTTGATGCCTGTCACATGGCATAGCTATATTGCTCTTCGTATGGAGATCTACGGCGAAGGTCAGTTTTAAAACTATTGATATTCCGAAGAAAAGAAATTCTCCATCTTCAATTTTCCAACGACAATTGCTCTGGGCTTTATTTTACCAATGATGGAGGCATAATGCTCTAATTATGAGGCATGGGCCTTTTGCCCCCGATCCACAACTGATTATTGTAGGATCGCATATGCTTCCAATATGTTCATTTGAATCAAATCCATGACCCCATACCAAAACATTGCATTACCTTTCGTTATAATTGACAGATATCAACGATTGTTCTCTTGATCCTTGTGAGAATGGAGGAATTTGCAGTGATGGAGTGAACACCTTTACTTGTGCCTGCGATCCTGGCTATACTGGGCCATCATGTGAAACAGGTAACAAATAGAGTCAAAGCAGATTACATACCTACACTTTTTATATAAAACAATTGCTCCTTGTTCATCGAAACATTATAGATAAAAAGCAGACAAGGAAATAGAAAGAAAGAAACATGCAGTCATTGGTGATGAAAATCTTGGAGGTTTTTATTGATTGGCAGTCAACAGGAGTAAAAGTACAGACAAAAGACGCGGGGTTGTTTCACCTTTTGGTGCAGAAATGACATAAACTACACTCTTCTTGATTTCGAGTAGACACATGAAAAGTGGAAGTGCATGGTACTTTCAAAAGCAAATTTGATATAGTGATTACCACAACAATCTCTGATAATTATGATTTGTTTTAAGATATGATAATACCGGTGTGATTCATCTTGATTATAGCGATTCAACTTTTGGTGCTGAGGTGTCTTGAAGATAAGACTGTCCCATGCCATTTCCGCGTCCATTTTCAAATTCATTTTACGCCCAAATGAAAGAAATTCGTTTTACTGAAATTTTCTTAACTGGCAAGGACACACTACGTTTCGTGGGACAATGAGATTTTTTCAAAAAATATTTTTATTTCTAAGACCATGTTTTTGAAAAAAGATTCTAATTTCCAAGGAGATATTTAATTCATTAACCTAATTTGAACTATGTATTAAAATATTTTTAAAGGAAGTAATTTATCCCTGACAAGAACTGTCATTATTTGTATTAAGCATGCAAGTTTTGACTTCTTTTTACCTGTTCACCGCCAAATGAAGATAAATATGTCAACAGCGACATTATTTTCTCATCCCTTTTATCCCATTTATTGTCTTTGGAACTCAATTTGCACAGATATCAACGAGTGTTCTCTTGATCCTTGTGAGAATGGAGGAATTTGCAGTGATGGAGTGAACACCTTTACTTGTGCCTGCGATCCAGGCTATACTGGGCCTACGTGTGGAACAGGTAAGATATAGAGTCAAAGCAGATTACATACCTACACTTTTTATATAAAACAATTGTTCCTTGTTCATCGAAACATTATAGATAAAAAGCAGACAAGGAAATAGAAAGAAAGAAACATGCAGTCATTGGTGCGGAAAACCTTGGAGGTTTTTCTTGATTGACAGTCAACAGGAGTGAAAGCACAGCCAAAAGATTTGAGGGTGTTTCAACTTTTGGTACAGTAATGAAATAAACTAAACTCTTCTTGATTTCGAGTAGACATCAATAGACATACATATTTATTTCAAACAATTGCTCCTTGTTCATTAAAACATCAAAGATAGAGAGCAAACAGTGAAAAAGAAAGAAAGAAATATGCAGTCATTGGTGCGGAAAACCTTGGAGGTTTTTCTTGATTGACAATCAACAGGAGTGAAAGAACAGCCAAAAGATGCGAGGGTGTTTCACCTTTTGGTGCAGTAATGAAATAAACTAAACTCTTCTTGATTTCGAGTAGACACATGAGAAATTGGAGTGCATGGTACTTTTAAGAGAAAATTTAACATTTTGATTACCACAACGATCTCTGATATTGATGAGTTGTTTTAGGGTATGATAATACTGGTATGATTCATCCTGATTATAGCGATTCAACTTTTGGAGCTGATGTGTCTTGAAGATCTGACTATCCCATGCCATTCCCGCGTCCATATTTACATTCATTCCACGCCCAAATTAAAGAAATTTGTTTTAGTGACATTTTCTTAACTGGCATGGACACACTACGTTTTGTGAGACGATGAGATTTTGAGTTTGAGTCGAAAATACGATTTCATGTTCCATTTGGCCATTAACTCTTATCATGCCACAGGGCTAATCCCCATTATGCCAAGCCCCAAATCACGGAGTGCCAAGTTTACATTAAGATAATCTGATTAACGCGATTAAAATTGCGCTGCCATCGGGAAAAAAAAGAGAAGGGGGAGGGAAAAAAGAGAGGAAAAGGGAAAGAAAATTAAAAAAAAAGAAAAGGAAAAGAAAGGAAAGAAAAGAGAAGAAAGAAAGAGAAAAAAGGAAAAAGAGGGAGGAGAGGAAAGAAAGGAAAAGAAAGAGAAGAAAGAAAAGGAAAAAAAGAAGAAAAAAGAGAAAAGGGAAACAAAAGAAACGGGGGATGAAAGAGAGGAGAGAGAGGCACTATGAACATGACGGACAAAGAAAGCAGACAAAATATACAGTTCCTCAGGTAGACAAAGGAACATCCCTTCACTGCTATTATGTAAAAAGGTGAATATGCATGTGACACATTTTTACATAATAGCAGTGAAGGGATGTTCCTTTGTTTACCTAAGGAACTGTATATTTTGTCCGCTTTATTTGTCAGTCATGTTCATAGTGAGGGGAGGTTGTTGAGTGGAGTCGTCTCGCCGAGGGAGCAACAAAGACATGGGTAAATATGTTGCTATGTTGGGTCAGCTGTGTCTGTATTCTTGCTCGATCCTCGAGGAACTATATCAATGCAGTATGTTGAAGTCGATGAGATGTATATTGTCGGTCGGCCAACACGTTTTCTCCCTACGAACTGACTTTTTATCCGCTGTGACGACTTCGAGAGTGACTACAACTACAATACTTGTATTTTCTCGAAGTTTCACTTTCCTATAATATCAGCTAAAGATATCAGAGGTTTAACATTTTCGGGAAAACTAAATTCAAAGAAGGATTAAGAGTCATCAACGGTACGACAAATTGTCTTCCTTTCTCTATAATTTGATGAAACGCCAAAACTGCCGCGCTTCGCGCGGGAGGGGGAGAACTGAATTCAGATAAGGAATAAGAGTCGAGGACATTACACCGAATCCTCTTCTTTTTCTCATAATATAATGAAATGCCAAAGCTCCCGCGCTTCGCGCGGGAGAGGGAGAACTAAATTCAGATAAGGATTAAGATTCGAGCACGGTTCAACAAATATTAATTTAAGGAAACGTCTAAGCTTCCGCGCTTCGCGCGGGAGGCCTACCACCCACACCCCCTAATGAACGCGCTTAGCGCGCTCCTTAAGTGATTCGCTTGCTCAATATACTGCCGCCCCTCCCTAAAATAAGATCCTATATAGCTCCGCGCCTGCATTAAAACATATAGCTATGATGCTGACTAAGTTGACGAACTAATTCGTATATTTATATCGTTGAGGAAAATGACCATTTGCGCATACGCAAGTACTATAGATAGTCCTTAGCCAGGAAAAACAATTTAGCCTTCGGTCCTTGGCTTATAGGGTTAAATTTGTAGATATTGGGACAATTTTGTCGGTAATTGGTGGCTGGTTTTGTCATTAATCATTGGCGTCTACATCCCCCCCCCCTGAAAAAGGTCTAGCGACGCCCCTAAGGCACTATAAGGATAGCGTGCATGCAGCCTCATGGCAGGCTATGAGTTAAGTACACCGTGACGTCATCATAATGGTCTTGAAACTAAAAAAACGAATTTGCATATTATGACGTCAGCAAGTTTATAAAAAAATTAAATGTATCTTTATAAATATTGATTGCTTTTCTCCCAATTTTTGATATGTAGTTTTTGAGCCGATTTTCTACACAACAGGTGCCATTGATTTTTCATTTCAACAATGGCATCATGGTCCATTCTGTCGAGTAAAGAGGCATGCCATTTTTTCCGATTTTGCTTGCATTCTCTACGGGAGGTGAATTTTTTGGAAATCTTTATTCTACATTCCAGTCTTGTTCGAGCAACATCTCGATTCTTTTCTGCCAGCTTCAATTTGAAAATCAAATTTTCCGTTTACGTGTATTGTCTATGTGGATTTGTTGGTATATTTGTCATGGCATTTGCCTCCCATCCCGGCGATCATCTTTCATAGATCTAAAATGATCAATGCTGCACAGTTGAAACTTCATTAATTGATAGACCATAATAGGAGAAGTATTTCATAACGGAAGTTGAATTCGTGAAAATGCGTTCTTCATTATGTAACACATTTGAATACGTATCACCTAATTCGTCGAGAGACGAATTCAAGTCAAGTTGAGTTGTTTATGTTAGGTTCAGAGATAGGGTAAGGTATAGTCCTCGTTTAAGGTTGAATTTAAGACTTCGGTTATCATATTATATATGGCATTTGGTGTGGAGGGTTGTTATACCTAAGAATTCGATTTGTAGAAGGCAATTGACTTACGGCAGGGCTCCTCATTTTTCTTTTAAGAGAGGGTTGAGATTGAAATCTTGAGGATCTCTTTGCATGTACCCCAGTCCCCCGGAGTAAATTTCTAAATTGTTTTTGTCCAGAGTTAAAATGTAAGGACAGTGTGCACCAGACACCTGTTAAGGTCAATTTCACCCAGGGTCTATTATCCGAGAAATCTGATGGGAATGTGGTAGGAGGTCTACTGCCCTAGAAGGTGGAAATCCTTAAGATATAGATGTCCAGAAGCAATCGCTCTAGAGGATATTGACTTAGGGGATGGTAGAATAGTCTTTTTGGATCCATGTCCAAGGGTGCATTGTTTAAGTGGGTAGGTTTTCCAGGGAATAGTAGACCAAGTCAGTGAGGTCTGTTGGGATACATGCAAAACGGTGCATCATCCTAGTGGGTAGCTTTTTTAGGGGATGAAAGACCTAGTTAGAATATTTGTTGGGATACATGTCCAAGCATAGAGTTACCATGGTCCAAGGGTGCATTGTCCTGGTGGGCAGGTTGTCCAGGTGATAGTAGTTGGAAGGTTTTTTGTCTGAATCTAGAACGCTCATTTCCGAAAGAATTATGATCCACAGCCAATCAAAACCGTATTATACAATGTAGTTTAACTAGTAAAGAGTACTGTTTACAGTCCAGAAAGTTTGTGGTCAATCTAGTTTATTATTCCATTATTCATTTATATGTAAACATTAAAGGGGACTCAAGGTTTAATGAAACATGCTCTGATAAAAATATCTCTTCGATCAACACAGTCCTTACTTCAGTAATAGCTCGAACTTTATCTCTTTTACGACATGAAGCCATGTGTCCTCAGACCAAAACGGTTATTCTAAGGTGGTTTGTTTAGAACACCATTCAAGGAATGGCCGCACTTACCATTATAAGTTGACTGGATCAAAATGCCTCCATATATATATCCACGGATGTTTAAAACATGGATAGGTCTCATTGAATAGCTTTTGATTCCCCTCGTTTCATAGGAATACATCTACCTGTAGAACATGAAATGCTTTGCTTGATTATTCATGAGCAAATATCAAGTACTTGTCTTGGAGAGGGCCTTATAATTTTTGCAAATAATTTTTTTTTCTGCTCATGCCCAGATTGTTACTACACACTTGTCTATTGTATGTCCATCTGATAGAAGCATTCGATCATATTTGCCTATTTGACCACCACTATCTACATTTTGCTATACATTGTCACGAATTAACTTACAGCTATCTTGAATAAGCCTGGTCTGGGCCTTGAGAGTTATGTTATCCCGGATTCCAGTCTTACAGCTTCCAGTACGTATAGAAGTCCCGAGTCTGGCAACTTTACCGCAAATAAAGGTCGTCTTAACCTGGCCGAAACAGCCTGGGGCGCAGAAACAGAAGATACCGAACAGTGGATCCAGGTAAGAAAAATGTCTTAAAGTAGATATTCATTGATTTTAAAAACTAACTTTATTTTCATTATTGCAAAGTTGAAACTGTGATTTGACAATGTTATCTAAATGCAATGCTTGGAAACATGTGAAGTAATGATTATTATAAATTACAAAAACGCTTAAATACAGCCCCGGCATAGCACCTGAAGAGCTCTCCGAACGCTGCTGATATGTGTGACATCACAGTATGGACATTATTTGCACAAGCAGACGAAGTCCAATGACATCTTACACATTTTCAGTGCCTGTTTTTTCATCTTCTCTTGAGTTCTTTCTCTTACTTCACTACCGTCAGGCTAAATGTATAATATATTGCCTCACTCTAAACCCCGCGCATGGTTTTATTTTGATTACAAATGCAGCGATACACAAATAAAGGAATCTGTCGCTTGTAAACAATATAAGACGCCATGGTATATTCAGCTGCACACACCGCGGTATTGTCGGCGTTTCAAGAGGGAACAAATGCCGTCCTTAATATCATTCCGGGGGTTTTTAATTTGAAAGTCTGGCTTCTTCGATTGTTAAATAACCCCTATCCTATGTATTTACAAACAAAAGATTTTAGTTATCAGAATCGGTTTCATATCCCCTTTTGAAGGGTTTGATAGGCCATCACATTTATATACACTAAACTCGTTATAATTTGACAAATAATAGCTTTGCAATTATGTTAATTTTGTATGGGATGTCGTCTGCTTGGGCAATAGGGACTTTTAGATTTACGTGGACTGATACTTGTGACTTCAATTGAAGGCAGTGCATTAAATGGACGTTGATTGTAGCAATCCCCATTGTCTTCGTGCGAATCTAAAAGTACCTAATATTGGTCAATATTGTGACGTCATTAGAACATCGTTATTTTTCTGGCGAATCTCTCGTATCTCCCAGCTGCTATGGAAGTGGTTGTATTTGTATTTTTATAAATCATCCGATATGCAGTTGACCTAAAACTTATACGATGGCCATCTGTTAGTGAATAGTTGAAGAAAGGGAAAAATAGAAGTCTGGGAGTCCAGCCGTAAATGGAGATATTAAGCTGTTAAGCTTATTTATTCGATCTGTAAAGACAGATAAAATAACAATGACAGATTTAGTATATCATTCATGTTACACAAGAATGCAATATATAATCCAAATTATCTGAACAAACCAAGTAACTGTATTTATAAAGATTCATTTAAACACATTTGCTTTTGTTCTATAAACTGTCAATCTTGACCTCATCCTTTAACTCTCAAAAAATCAGAGTAACCAATGGTTACAAAACCTTATGCATTTTCTAATATGCATTACTTTCAAATACTCATACTTTCAGAGTTTCTCAAACCGACCTGACTTCCCTTTAAACAGATTACTGTCAATTTGCATAAACCAAAATAACTGTAAACATCTCTATCTTGTATCCATACACAAGCTTGATTAATTCTCATCTATCTTCATAGCATAAATTCCTTCTAAAAACCTTAACATTGGATTGTCACTTTAAATGTATCGTATGACCTTCCACTGACTTTGACAGGCACCTAATTTGCATATTTCTGCTCGCCTAAGAAAATCTGTCTTAAAATGTCTTTATTCATTAAACACTGTTTAATGAACTCAACTTAAATACCTGACTTGCATAAAACTTCCCAGTAATAATCTAGAGATTACACTTCAATACAAAATAAACTATCTGGCATAACTTGTAATTTACACCTGTAATTTACATCTGTAATCTACACATGCAGTACACTACAACAATCCTTTCTAATTTCATTATTAACTCTGCAATGAATAAACAGTTTCTTTCAATTCTGACTCTAAATACCATACCAGAGGTGCAAAGCTTAACCTTTCACCAAGTCAATAAATGGTGTCTTGCAACTTTTAAGCAAGCTAAATCAAATTCCACAGACCAACTTTTGTCACCCAAACAAACTGCATAAAATCCAAGATTCTAGCATGCACAAATATAAACATCCTTTATCTTTAGGACTTCTACATATATACACTGTTTACTCTATAAATGACATAAAACAATATTTGCCTAATACGGTAATTCTGCTTTGACAATTATTATTTAACTGGAAAAACACATGACTAAAAGTACGTCTCATGGGCGCGGCCATTTTAGGCGCAGCCATCTTGGATTTAATGCCACACGTGCATTATGCTAATGAGTTAAATACAGTTCTTTAGAATTCGTTTTTACAGTACAACTTGAAACTATCTTATTTTCCGTTTTATGAGTTCACATTCCAGTTTATATTAATCTAAACACTCACTTCTGTGGCGGGACAAAACTTCGTCGGGAATACATGAATGGCAACTGACTGGTTAACTGGTAAATGAGTCAAACTGGACTACATTTCTGACTGCGTTCTGTGTTGACTGAAGAACATGGCGACAGTGCCGAACTTAACCTATGGTAGCTTTTAAGAGCAAAAAAAGGGAAAATCTAAACCAAGCAAAAATCATCGCTCGGCGAAACAGTTAGCTTACCAGTTTCTAGTGAAACATTAGTTGACATATTTGTGATTTTCTTGGAATTTCCACTTTAAGGCCAATTTAGACACAAAGGCCCGAATTCAAAAAGGAGGTTTGTCGTCAAACCTCTTTTGTGAATTCGGGCCACAATTTTAAGGCAACATGACGTCACAAACTGATTACAATAATAGCAATTTGTGTTGTGATTCTCATTGTTCTATAGTTTTACATACTTTTTCAAAAATTCATTACTTTCTTATTAGTTATCCGATTTTGCTCAATTTTTGTTTGATTGGTTTGTCTAAATTTCTGCGTAGTTTAATTTGCATTCATACCCTGCCACAATGTATGTAATAAGAGTCACCAGTCATTTCTTTGGCATGTGTTCATATCGCATCAGTACCACCTTGTCAGTAATGAAAGAGTCAATAGGCATTTTTATGGCACCCTTCACTTACACTGTTCAAATTGTTTCTATTGGCCATTTTTTGAGGTGATTTATGGGTTCTCTCCTCTTTGTAGGTAAGCTAGCATTTGTTTCCTCTTTAAGGACATTAATATAATTGTTCGATATCACTCAGAAATGAGATCGTCAATGACAGCATCAATGTGGAAAACTTCCAATCAAATATTGCCCTTGGAGGAGCAGAGCTTTATGAGAGCAAGATAATGTCATTGATAGATGCAAAAAAAAGTAGCGTTCTTATTATCTTTAAAAATCATATAGATTTGACACATTTTGGAATATGCTCATTGGTTAAAATTGTTGGCATGAATATGAAATTATTATTAGGATGAATATCAAGAGTTCTTCTTCCCATTCTTTTTTTTCCCCAAGGTGGATCTTTTGGAACCTTACCGTATCATTGCAGTTGCGACTCAAGGCAATGGAAAAACCTCAGACAAGGGGTATCGTGAGTGGGTAACAAGCTACAAGCTTGCTTGTAGAACTGATGACACGCCCTTTCACACCGTGCTGGACATCAATGGAGATGACAGTGTAAGTTTGTTCTCTGATCATTGTTTTAAATAAATATTATATTGACTCTATTCTTTAAGAACTTTGAAGGAATTTGATATCTTATTGAAAACAGTTAAAATATTTGTATGCCATTTTTTTGAAAGAGAAAGGCAATTGTTACCTCAGGAACAGAGATACATGTTAGGTGTACTATTTACTATTTTTACACAATGTTTAAGAGGAGAAAATTATCAGGTAGAATTGAAGAACTGTTTATTATTATAGATAGGTTAGAGCAAGAAATGCACTCAATCTATTTCAATTTCTTTTCTCCATTTAATTATTAGGCCTCTAAAACTAAAAATAGATGTAACCAGAATATGACTACAAATATACAAAAATAAATAGGTAGATCTACTGTACAAGCAAAAAATGCTTTTAAATCAGATTCTCTTTTGTTCGGTTGCAATTAACTGTAAAATCATTTGAGTCATAATAATTCAAAAGTGGATTGATTTTCCTTTTTCATTGAAGATCTTCACCGGTAACTTTGACAAGAACACCATCGTGACCAACACTCTGTCTGTGCCCCAGGTTTGCAGATATGTCCGCTTGATGCCTGTCACATGGCATAGCTATATTGCTCTTCGTATGGAGATCTACGGCGAAGGTCAGTTTTAAAACTATTGATATTCCGAAGAAAAGAAATTCTCCATCTTCAATTTTCCAACGACAATTGCTCTGGGCTTTATTTTACCAATGATGGAGGCATAGTGCTCTAATTATGAGGCATGGGCCTTTTGCCCCCGATCCACAACTGATTATTGTAGGATCGCATATGCTTCCAATATGTTCATTTGAATCAAATCCATGACCCCATACCAAAACATTGCATTACCTTTCATTATAATTGACAGATATCAACGATTGTTCTCTTGATCCTTGTGAGAATGGAGGAATTTGCAGTGATGGAGTGAACACCTTTACTTGTGCCTGCGATCCTGGCTATACTGGGCCAACATGTGAAACAGGTAAGATATAGAGTCAAAGCAGATTACATACCTACACTTTTTATATAAAACAATTGCTCCTTGTTCATCGAAACATTATAGATAAAAAGCAGACAAGGAAATAGAAAGAAAGAAACATGCAGTCATTGGTGATGAAAATCTTGGAGGTTTTTATTGATTGGCAGTCAACAGGAGTAAAAGTACAGACAAAAGATGCGGGGTTGTTTCACCTTTTGGTGCAGAAATGATATAAACTACACTCTTCTTGATTTCGAGTAGACACATGAAAAGTGGAAGTGCATGGTACTTTCAAAAGCAAATTTGATATAATGATTACCACAACAATCTCTGATAATTATGATTTGTTTTAAGATATGATAATACCGGTGTGATTTATCTTGATTATAGCGATTCAACTTTTGGTGCTGAGGTGTCTTGAAGATAAGACTATCCCATGCCATTTCCGCGTCCAATTTCAAATTCATTTTACGCCCAAATGAAAGAAATTCGTTTTACTGACATTTTCTTAACTGGCAAGGACACACTACGTTTTGTGGGACAATGAGATTTTTTCAAAAAATATTTTTATTTCTAAGACCATGTTTTTGAAAAAAGATTCTAATTTCCAAGGAGATATTTAGTTCATTAACCTCATTTGAACTATGTATTAAAATATTTTTAAAGGAAGTAATTTATCCCTGACAAGAACTGTCATTATTTGTATTTAGAATGCAAGTTTTGACTTCTTTTTACCTGTTCACCGCCAAATGAAGATAAATATGTCAACAGCGACATTATTTTCTCATCCCTTTTATCCCATGTATTGTCTTTGGAACTCAATTTGCACAGATATCAACGATTGTTCTCTTGATCCTTGTGAGAATGGAGGAATTTGCAGTGATGGAGTGAACACCTTTACTTGTGCCTGCGATCCAGGCTATACTGGGCCTACGTGTGGAACAGGTAAGATATAGAGTCAAAGCAGATTACATACCTACACTCTTTATATAAAACAATTGCTCCTTGTTCATCAAAACATTATAGATACAAGGCAGACAAGGAAAAAGAAAGAAAGAAACATGCAGTCATTGGTGATGAAAACCTTGGAGTTTTTTTTTGATTGGCAGTCAACAGGATCGAAAGTACAGACAAAAGATGCGGGGTTGTTTCACCTTTTGGTGCAGTAATGACATAAACTACACTCTTCTTGATTTCGAGTAGACACATGAAAAGTGGTAGTGCATGGTACTTTCAACAGCAAATTTGATATAGTGATTACCACAGCGATCTCTGATAATTATGATTTGTTTTAAGATATGATAATACTGGTGTGATTCATCTTGATTATAGCGACTCAACTTTTGATGCTGACGTGTCTTGAAGATTAGACTATCCCATGCCATTTCCGCGTCCATTTTCAAATTCATTTGACGCCCGAATGAAAGAAATTTGTTTTAGTGAAAAAACTGGCATGGTCACACTACGTTTTGTGGGACGATGACAATTTTTTAAAATATATTTTCTTTCTAAGGCCATGTTTTTGAAAAGGTGCTAACCAAAGAGATATTTAGTTTATTTACTCCATTTGAATTATGTATTATTAGATTTTCAAATGATGGAATTTATCCCTGAACTGTCATTATTCGTATTTAGAATGCAAGTTTTGATTTATTTTTACCTGTTCACCGCCAAATAAAGATAAATATGTCAAAAGGGACATTATTTTCTCATCCCTTTAATCCCATTTATTGTCTTTGGAACTCAATTTGCACAGATATCAACGATTGTTCTCTTGATCCTTGTGAGAATGGAGGAATTTGCAGTGATGGAGTGAACACCTTTTCTTGTGCCTGCAATCCTGGCTATACTGGGTCTACGTGTGGAACAGGTAAGATATAGAGTCAAAGCAGATTACATACCTACACTTTTTATATATAACAATTGCTCCTTGTTCATCAATAAACTACACTCTTCTTGATTTCGAGTAGACACATGACAAATGGTAGTGCATGGTTCTTTCCAGAGCAAATTTGATATAGTGATTACCACAACGATCTCAGATAATTAAGTAATATTGACTGCCTTCTAGGCTAGGAATATTGTGTCTTTTTTTACGTAAACGTCAAACAAATTGCAATAAAATATTTTTCACTGCAATGCATTTTAATAAGGTCCCCAAAATGACATACTAAAAGTCCAACAAAATCAAAGTAGTGGAAGTGTCCCTAATTTGCATAAATCCAATATGGCCGCTATTTCGAGGATTTTCACATAGATTTTATCATATTTTTCAGCTTGTATAGGCTGTTGTGGCATTAAAGGAGTAGGAAAAGTGATCTGCTGTACATTTTGTATCAACTGAAATACCCATATACTACAGGTACATCACACACCTGAAACAAATCCCCCACACACCCACACCCACATAATGCAATATGTAACGTATGCTCAATTTATCACCTCAGCAGATGATGTTATTTCATTATGCACTAGACAAATATGTCATTTTAATTATATTGAAAAAAACTAAAATAAAAATATTCAGAAAAACTGGCCCTTATGATATCCATACGAACACAAGAGTTGTTGGAAGGGCTATTAGGGGTACAATCTGTACCTTACATTATCCTCATGGTCATTGTAATTCGGAAGTTGTTCTCAGTGCAACAGTTTACTTAATTTTAGAGAGGTGACAAACAGAAGCATACGTTACATGCTGGCTCATCACAGTACAAGTATCGATATTACTGCGGTATTTGTGCTCTCTAGTCACTATTTTTGTCAAATATTCAACTAAGTTAGACCCGTAAGCTTTTATTATGTGATATCCATGATACCTAATTCATAGTCATTCATTGCAAAACTTTAAAGTAGAACACCCAATAATAGTTTCAATATATATATTGATGGAAGGCTTATAATGTGCAGAATACAATACATTTTTTTAAAATTAAGATATCAGAATCCACTAAGGCACAATAACCAGTCAAAGTTTTTCACTACACCCCCCCTTTCACCTAAGGTCATTCAGAGGTCAAATTAGGCCTGTAATTCATGACACCACAGAATGTACACCTTTCTTGATCGCCGATCTATGCAGTGCTACAAAAGGCAAGCCTACACATGAGCCTAGCTCCATCAATAGGAAGGGGGCTTTAGTTGCTGATGTGGTACTGATTGTGCTATTACTGTAGTTGTAGTAGAGATATGCATAAAAAGAAATGATACTTGGTCGCAAAATGTGTCTGGAAGACTTGCATCGGTCAATGATCTTCCCGCAGTTGATGCAGTATACCATAAACTATGCATGGCGAACTTTACAACTAAAAACAAATACCAATAGTACTCTGTGAGCACAAGCACTTCCAAAAAGGCTAAAACTGGCCGACCTAAACATGAGGTGAAATCGACTGCATTCTTAAAAGTAGTTAAGTCCCTTGAGGAAAATGATAAGGAACACACAACAGTAGTTGATTTTGTTACTAAGATGCAAGAGTATTTTCTGGAAACAGATCATGATGCCGACAGTGGGGTATACATGAACAAGAAAATACTGGGGCACTTCGGTGAGAGGATTGTATAACTGAACTGAAAGGAAAGCATGATGTAGTTACATTTCGTAGCACAGCTAGTGCTATTCTGTATGAATTCCACAAGCAGCCAAAAAACAATTACACACCAAAGCAGGAGAAAATGAGGATCATCTAGGCTGCTGCCTCACCGTATACAAAATGACGTCAAGTTAATTGAAAGAAAATTACAAGTGACGCGTTTACCTGCATTTCTCACAGATTCCCTGCAACTGCTATTGAGGAACATGTATGTATGTTGGCCAAAAGGTAGATTGCGATGCTGGCATCTATTGGGCAAGCCATAATGCACGCAATACGTCCAAGGGTTCTCCTTGCTCCTCTTCAGCTTGGACTACAAATGCATCATCAATTCTCATCTCGTTTTCTGATCGACACACTGCATGCGCAATGCTTCTAATCGTAATGCTCTTATCCGGTGGTTAAGAAATATGAAAGAAGTGCGTGCAATTACTCAAGAGTGCATTCAGTATATTGCAAATAATATCGACAATCCTGATGGATCAGGTACTTTCCACAGATGGGTACATAATTGCTACCCAAACCCCAGGGATAAAGTACTGTAAGCCTGTACCTAGATAAACGGTATCCGCTGAGGACTTTGCTACTGCTGGACGTATCAACATTGAATACTTAAAGGCATCTACAACTGTACAACCTCTGGTTTACCAGCCGATTGTGAATCGGGGACCAGAAGATCCAACATTTGACCTTGATGTGCTGTTGAAGACATCTTTACTACTGCGGTCCCCAAGGCCTTCAAAGGTCCGGAACGATACAGATAATAAAAACAACGGCAAGTACCCTGATCAGTCATCTTCTTTGTTTCTCCCCATGATTGACATGAATCCTAGTGATCCATCATGCATGTGTTTACTACACTCTGCGTTTTGCTTGTACCCATGATAAACGGTATACATAAACCTGTTTTGACGTTTGATAAGCTGCTATGGTGGAAGGCACTCACAATAATCAGGAGCTAGCCAAGTGACAGTGACTTAATTGAAGCAGGTCGTTCTGCAGGGCATTTGATGACGGGCTCATGACCCCATGAACGTCTTGAAGAAGTGTATACCATATATGCTGGGTGTAAAGGCGTTTTCTAGAGCTGCATGTGCGGGGCCATTTACTTGTTGATGCTGCTCTAAATACCATGCTGATACCAGACTTGTATAATGTACATCTGCAACAAGTACAAACAACCTCCGGAAGCTCCTATAGTGATCACTATAGGAATTTCCAGAGGCCGTTGTTCAGCACCCATGCAGGTGTTCCATGTGGAGTAGCTAATTTCGGGAAGCAGCCCACTTAAGGTCTCTCTCGAACAACTACTAACGGACAGCATCTTCCTGATCTTCATTGTGATGTAGCAATAATGAGGAAGAGCAGATTCCTGGAATTAATTGTGATGCAGCAGAAGTTTAAAGCAACAGTTCTTGTCTGTGATGACACAAACCTTCTCATCTTGCTGATCTTTTACGCTGATCTGAATGCAAAGGACTTGTTTTTTGGCACCCGAGCCCAAGGCAACTCCAAGAAGAACCGAACATGGAATATCAAACAGCTGAAGGAAACTCTAGGAAGTAGTGTGTGTGACTACTTTCTCTTTGCCATGTGCTTCTGGACTGCGACACAACGTCTCGCATATTTGGTCTAGGGAAAGGCGTAGCACTGAAGAAAATCATGAAGAATGACGACTTCTGTGAGCTTGCCATGATATTTAGTCATGCAGCCGGCATCATACCTGAAGGAGGCCATTATTCCAGCTGGAGAGAAGGCACTGTTATGATTGCGTAAAGGTATCATCAGTCTTGTCTGCCTTAGAAGCAAAGACTTTGCAACCAACTTCAGCAGCAGAAAAATTCCACAGTCTGCGTGTGTACTATCAGATATTAGAATGGAAAGGAATGTCAGAGAGCCTGACATCGGGAAACTGAGTTGACAGGTCATGGATGGGAAGTATCTTCCAATAAAAACTGATAAAACATCAGCATCTGCATAACACCTTAATGTCATCAGATGTGGATGCAAGAAATATTGTGCAGCCAAAAAATGCACGTGCCGGAAGTATGGCCTCCAATGTTCAACATCCTGCACTGATTGTCGTGGCGCTAGTTGTAGGAACTCACCACCATTATAGGCCTACCTAGAACTTGACGATATATTACTGATCAGCATGCCACATAAATGTTTGTTTGTTGGAGACTACCAACTATAATCAAATCAAAATATGTATACTTAACTGTAGGCCTCATGACCTGCATCCTGTAATAACAACTGTACCGGGATTGTAAACCAACATAAACATATTATAGCTGCTCTGAAATGCATTGTAAGGTGAGAATCAACACAAAATTTATGCAAATTAACCCGCTTAAAAAAAATATATGTGTATATATCCAAATTAAAAAACCTAATTATGAAACATTTGAAATATAAATATATGTGTACAACATATATAAGTGTTGTCGCAATTCGTCTGAATGTAACATAGGACAAAAAATATAATTATAATATATTATCTACAATAATGTTTAATTTAGCAGCCATTTTGAATTTAAGCAAATTAAAACACTCAACCGGGCATATGAAACCTTATGCAAACAAAACAATTCTTGGAAATAACATTTTAGACTTTCAAAGTACACTAAAAGTGTGCTAAAAGGTATGTATGGTGAATATTTTGACCAAATCTAGGAGAAAACCCTAGAATTGGCGGCCATTTTTGATTTATGGAAATTTGACACAGTCAGTCCACTACACGGATAATGTAAGGTACAGGCTGTACCCCTACATAACCCTATAACAGCTCTTGTGTTTTGTACTGATACTCATAACGGTCAGTTTTCTGAATAAATTTTTGTTTTATTTTTTTCAATATAAAATGACATGATATATGTCTAGTGCATAATGAAATAACATCATCTGCTAAATTAATAAATTGAGCATACATTACATGTTGGGTTGTGTGGGTGTGGGTGTGCGGGAGATTCGTTTCAGGTGTGTGATGTACCTGTAGTATATGGGTATTTCAGTTGATACAAAATGTACAGCAGATCACTTTTCCTACTCCTTTAGTGCCACAACAGCCTATACAAGTTGACAAATATGCCAAAATATATGTGAAAATCCTCGAAATAGCGGCCATATTGGATTTATGCAAATTAGGGACACTTCCACTACTTGGATTTTTTTGGACTTTCAGTATGTCATTTTGGGGACCTTACTAAAATGCATTGCAGTGAAAAATATTTTATTGCAATTTGTTTGACCTCAAAACACAATATTCCTAGCCTAT